GCGGTATTTGCAACGCAAAAATATCGAAAAAAATAAAACAGAATAAAAGGAGAAACATACGAGAGAAATAACCGAGCGAAACAAATGAACGCAACGAACGAGCGAATTAAACAAATGAGGGAAGAATAACAAAACACACGAAGCGCAATATACAAAGTATGACATAGCAAAAAAAAAAAAATGATAAGCAAAATTTTATGAACAGCAGTGGGACGTCAAACGAGCTTATAACAAAAACCCCAAATGAAGGCAAGCGCAAAAAATGCTGGAGGAAACATGGAGTAATGTATATTGCAATTGTGTTTCTCGCGCGCGTAAGCTTACATATGAATACGCTTAAGCAAACTCATATGCCTACATATGAATACATAAACAATGTGTCCGTATGTACCCTTGTATATACCCTTTGCGCATTGTCCTTGGCGTATAAGCTGACTTCATAGTTACTGAGTTCGTTGGCAAACACCACTGGCGATATATATATATATTTTTTTTCGTGCGCCCATTTTTCATGTTCCAAACATATGCATAAACAATTAATTTATGCCTATGTGAATGCCTCGATTCCCCCCGCCTCCTATTCCTTTGACACATTCGTCAATAAGGGTTTTCATAAAATACGTACATGTATTTTGTAAGGGGACGCGCGCACGCGCATTGTATTATATGTAAATCTCCGTGGCTATGTTACAAGCGTACTACCCATTACACACGTGTGCGTACTGGCACCATTGTGAATGACCGAATGAGCGCATTCACAAGGGTGTTATGTAAATACGTATACGTGATTGGTATATATATGCTCAAAACATTCTTTGCTCAGTTTTTCGTCTGTCATACGTACCATATAGGCATATCCCCCCTCTCCTTCATATCTGTACAAAAATTTTTTCGTTGATATATTTTTTTTTTTATTTTTACATTAAATGTAAGAACAACGATTACATTGTCCACTCTAATGAGAAGGCCAATGTCAGGAATTTTGTCGAAACTTCGCTAAGTTCTAGAATTGTACAATTTCTATGAAACAGTTTTTCATTGATAATTCTTTTTAATTATTTTTTTTTTTTTGTAATTTTTCTAGTATTTATGATGTCCATTTGCATATAATGCTCCCCACACAGACACATATTTCCTTCACCATTTCGTATTCCACACGTTTATGTCAAGAACACCCCACTTTGTGTCAATGTACATATGGAGGCGTGCGTACACACGTGAAAGGTTGCGTATGTGCGAGTGCGCAAAAGTCTGTATGTGTCGCAGCGCATATATATGTGCATACGGACACATGTGTACGCCACCACCATCACCTCTGCTCGTCTGCAAGTTAGTACCCTTTTTTTGTTCAACATGTGCATATAATTACGTGTTGCCCACAGGTCGATGATGAACACCACAAAAGTTTATGAATTACGCGAGAATTAAAAACAATTCATACGCTTTAATTGTTTTGCATTCCCTTTACATTTTTACTGTTCGCGTTATGTGTTGTACGTGCGTGTGTAAATTTATGTGCGTGTGCATATGTGTTTTTAACCTGTGTACACGGCGCCCCCCCCTTTTTAGTCATGCCCTTCCCTTACTCAGCTTTTTTGTGAAAGCAAGCCAAAATGTCTCAACCCATGCAAACTTCAAAAATATTTCTTTAAAAGAAATATGCATTCTTACCCATATGGCAAATGATTATTTATTATTTCGCGTATTTTTTATTAACATTTCGTAGATGATTCTTTTATCCTGTTCTGCCCCTCCTTACAATTTCTTTTCTTTTGTTTTCATTTTTTTTTTTTCTTTTTTTTTATCACTTCCAATTGGTATGTATCCTTTTTTTGTTCCCATCGTACTACACACCTGTGTGGCTTACAAGCATTTAAATTTATAAAATTGTTGAACAGTGCAATTGTGAAGAATGTCGGAAAGCATTCACCCCCCTACATAAAATGTGCATTTATTAGACAGTTGCAGAGTATATAGAATACATTCACTGTTGCAACAAACTGTGCATTTTTGTCAAATTTTTCGGAGTTGCTTTTTAATTTACAAATAACTCTGTACGTTTATTTTTTTATTTTATTTCTTTTTTTTTTTACACATTTATTGTTTATCCATTTCTTTCCCCCCCTGAACGGTGTTATATGTTTGTACAGCATAAATTGTCAAAAATAAATTGATTAAACATTGTCAATGACTTCTTTTCATGTAATATTTCAGTTGTTCATGTCTCCATTGCGCATGAAGCTTCTCTTTATGTGTATCTTTTTCAAACGACCAGAAAAAGAGACCGCCTTTTCGATTGTCAAAATTGATAGTATACTCACCAGCAAGTTGCATATCACGATTAGTGTGAGCGGCGAGCCAATTGTTAACATGCTGATTAACACACGTATTAACGCACTTATTAATACCATTATGCATTCTGCGTGGATATTTCTGTATGCATGCGTACCCACAACCTGTGAAAGAGAAAAGGACACACGCGTGTTGTGCTGATAGGCCAATCGCGGGGCTGTAAATAGTTCGATGCGTATGATTTACTTCACATTTGTCCTTTCCCCCCCTTTTTTTTTCGTGCTCCTTTCGCCTTACTTTCGCAAATTTTGGCGCACGAGTCCTTTACAATTTTTAAGATTTCTTAACCTTAAGAAATACTTATCAATCTGTCTGTCAAGGTAAAAGTATCACATTCTTTACGCTACCACGTTTAAGTGGTTTTTTTTTTCTTTTTTTTTTTGAATATTCACTGCACCATTGTTTGAGCTTCTCCATTTACCGACACCTATGTTGCGAGAAAATAGTTATATTTGTGCATGTGCATATATCTATAGAGAAAAGCAGCGTACGGCTTGGTGAGGAAAGCAAAAATTCGACCAGCCCTCGGTGTTGTCTTGCCAACATAGCAATCTTAAAAATTAATGCATGACTGTCTTTATTTTTCACATAATTAAAGGTTCTGTGTCAGGGTCTGCATCTGTCCATGTATGGCGTTACCGTGTGCACTGTTGCGAGTACGCTGTTGTACACGCACTGTACTTCATGAGCTCTTGTATATAAACGCTTGTGTATGCGTCCCTGTTTATGCACACCTTATGCGCACTTGTCCGTCTAGACTGTCCGTTTCCACTCCCCACTCTTGTACAAGCACATACCAAGGCGTCTCTCATGCGCCACGCATTGCATCCATCAAAATTTGTTTGTTTTGGTGTAGAATAAAATACTGCGATTTGTTAGCTATATAAGTTCCTATAATAAGAGGAAAGATAAACCGTTTGATTCACACCCTTAGCTGAGGGATACCGAGCGATCGATTCGGTCTATACACCTGTGTGCATCTAAATAGATACGTAAATACTACCTTTTTAATTATACACATATATATATATATTTTTCACACAAGATCGAAATTTCCCTACATCACGTACCATTTCTCTGCATGCACCTACAAACTATACGTTGGCTACGTATACGTGTAGACCCACACTTCCTACGCGTAACATTCTATCTCTGTTATGTGTCTCCAAACGAGTGCATAACTCAATTGGAATTGTCCTCCTCCTCTCTCTGTAACCTTCATCTGTGCCAATGTTTCAACAAATGAATGATGAAATGTTCGCAAAGGAAGAATTGTCAAAGGTGGAAAAGTTAAAAAGAAAAGGCGAAGGAGACAATACGGACAACAACGATGATGGTGAACATTTTACACATGGGAGAAATTTGTCCTATTCTAATTATTACGAGCAAGGAAATGACGATGAAGAGAATGAGGAACAGAATGATCAGGAAGATGATGCTGAGGAGGAGGAGGAAGAAGACGACGACGACGCACCATACAATTTGGCAAATCCAGTGAGTCGAAACATAACAACAGATGCTGTGATCAATCAAGGACCTGTGTACCATAGAACATTTAATAACGAGTATGCATATGCAGAATCTTTAGCCAACCTAAATGACAATGCAAGAGGAGGCATGTATGAAAAGACTGTCCGTGTTGGTGAGGCGGGGAACAGTGACCGAACAGACTTCGCCTCCAACCTAAACGAATCATTAATGAAACTCTTCAGCATGAAGTGTAATATTCAAGAGGAGAAACTACAGGATAGAAAGATAAACTCGTATAAGAAAATTTTAAGAAATAATTCGAATGCAGACTTGAGCGAAACAGTTACAATATATGCGGATAATGCTAGTGTGCAAAATTGCTTCGGTCAAGAACCCTCCGATGAGCCCTTCCATCAGGACAAGCATAACGATTGCCATGAGATGAGTAGTAGTGATTTTGTTAAAGGGTACATCAAAGCGTCTAGTCCTTACCAAGTAAGAGAAAACAACGGGATAGCCCATTTTCTGGAGCATAAAAAGGCATACATAGGTGGAAGCAGCCTTTTGAAGGAACCTATGGGGGAAAAGAAAAAACGTCTTCCAAAGAGTACAATGGGCAGCGCACCGAGTTGTGTTGAATACGACTCGGATGATGGTAACGGAGAAACGCTTTACTCCGTAGATAACGGGAGTGGAACCGCTATGTCCAACCAGTCTGCTGGCTCCAATGAATCCGTGGAGGGCACGGAATTCATGCCTAACGGCGAAGAGCAATATTTCCGCAACGACATTGCGAAGAGAATTCTGGACAACATGGACCGGGTGCACATGCTCAATAAAGAGAGACACTCTGCTGACGGTACTGACGACGGTACTAATGAAGGTCCTGGTGACACTCATGATGACGAGGGAGACCAATTCAAAATGGAGCTCCTCAGCAAGTACAACAGTGTGAATTATGTAAATAATGTAATTCAGGATCTGAGTAAACTTCATGGAGAAAATCAGAGTGGAGAGAATGCCAACCGAGTAGAAAGAAGCATGCGCATTAGCTCTGGTGTCAATATGGGAGGTGTTGCGGAAGCTTGTGAGGAAAACACCAACCATGATAAAAACTACAAGGTGATAAATATAGATATGAATAATGCTAATGATTCGCGCAGGATGCTCATTCCTGGTGATGCCATGGTGAACGCGCTAGTAAACAAACGAGGAAATAAGAAGCAGACAATACTGACGAAGAGCAGAGAAAACACTGTTGTGGGGGATGATGAAGAGGAGGGGGATTACTCAAAGGGGGTGTACATTATGCATGAAAATAACTCCTCCAAGGTGGCAGTAAACAGTAATAAAATTAGCCAAGGACAAGATCACATCCAGAGTGGAAGCGAAGTATCCAGGGCAAGTACCTCTAACGAAGCTAATCTGAAGAAGCATGTCGAAGGCATAATGAAGGGAATTTCATCTATGAATAACTACGACTACTGCAGTTATGCAGTTAAGAGCACAGACAACCCCATAGAATTGATGAAATCACAACAGAACTATTCTATCGGGGCAGGAGAACATAAATACCAAATGGGTCATAAGAACAGTAGCAGTAACAGCTTCAGTAACTACTGCAGTAACAGCTGCAATAACCCCGCCTACCTCATAAGTGGCGGCAAAATGGGGAAGACTAAAACCGAGTCTAACGTAAACAATGACACTTATCAGAATGATGAATACCCCGACAGGAAGAATAACTTAGTCAATGTTGGCCACAACAATAAAGAAGCAGCAGATTTGTCCCCTTATAACATTCCCATCGGGGAGAAGACCAGTAAAGGAAGAGAAAATTTGCCCAATGTACTCCCCGTTAACAGTGCCGCCGACAATTTTTGTGGACTTCTACAAGGAAGTAATAAAAAAAATCTTGAAACAAAAACGGGTAAGAAATTGGTTAATATAAACCATGAGAACAGGGCAGTCGGCCACAACCAAGGCGGCAACAACTATCACGGAAAGTACACAAAGGACGACATTAACCCGAGACGAGCAAATGAGGCGGTCCAATATATTTGTGACGAAAACTATAACGAGGAAGTACCCCCTAACGGGAACTACCGAGGTAGGTTTTCATCACGTGTTCGAAATGTGAAGGGAGAAGAAAAGTACAGCTATTTGAAGCAGTCCAACGAAGATTCTAATCTTACCAATTTAAGCTCAGATGCTCATGCTGAATTGAATGGAGAAAATCGGAGATACTACCAGAACAGAACGAACGAGTCCGCTGATTTCGAAATGAAGGACCCGCTTCCATACAAAGGGAGTAAATCTCAGAAGGAAGAATCAATCAATAGTGGAAATATCAAGGGGAAGAATATTTTTGACGAATATGACGAAAAAAGTGATGTGAATTACCCCGACCAGCACCACCATCATCATGGTCAGGAAGATTCATCGCGCCAAATTCGCCAATCTGCTCAATCTTACCAGTCGCACCAAGTATCTGTGTCGAGAAGCCTCCCACCGGAGGCTTCCCACAGTGGTTGTAGGCGAAATAACGCCCCCACCCGATACGTGCATGAAAGGTACAGCAATAACAGCGAAGGAGAAATGGAGCAGATGTACAAAGTCGAAAAAGAGAAAAATTGTAACCTGGGAAACTATACGCAGGAGCTAAATGACGACGAACAGAAAGATGAACAAAATTACTGCAACAAATGGAGTGAAAATTCTGTCAACGCAGTGAATGATGTTAAAAGAAAAATGAAACAAGACACCAATAAAGGGGACTATTTGAAGAGTGGCTCTTCTTCTGCACCGACCAAAGACATAAGCAATGTAGAGGTCGGGATGGATAATTTTATGAAGAACAAAAATAGTTTCTATCCGAACAACTATGAAGAAATAAGGAAGGCCCTCTTTAACATAAAAAATAACCCCAACATCGATGACCTTACAAAGAAGAAGCTGATAAGTACCATAGAGAACTCCTTCTTTGCAGATAAGAATGGCAGCATGCGACTGTTGCATGAGGAAGAAGAGGACGCCGTGCACGACGAACTGCACCAGGGGGACTACGTGGAAATGCTGGAGGCGCAGCAAGAAGTTGTAAAAGGTGCATCCAAGTATGACTCAAGCGCCAGCTCAAAATGTGGCTCAAGAAATGGGGCCATGGTGGCAACAAGAAATAGCACCAAGAACCTCCCCAAGAGTGGCACGAGGATCATACAACAGAATGACGATCCCGAACGGTTGAGTCACTTCAATCAGGGCGAAAATTTGCGAAGGGAAAGAAAAAACGAATTCAAAGTTCAGCACACTTCCTATACCATCGATCAAATGAGAAGCGGCAATTTGAACGAGTGCTTCGACACCAGTTCCACTTCGAAACAGATGCTGGGTGCTCACCAGGAACACAATTTGGGGGGCAACCCTGGTTATGCTTATGATGAGAGTAAAGCCCACTTGTACGAAATGAATCGAAAAGAGGACACAAGAAACTCTGGTGCTAAGGAGAGAAGAAACAAAAGATCCAAAAGAAGCATGAATATTGCAAACGAAAGGGGTTTAGAAGAGGAACCGTTGCAGCTTGGCGATGAACGTATCGACGAAAAGTATGAGACATACAACGGGCCAAGAAATGGAATGAGTTGTGTCGATAATAGCAGCGCAGTCAGTAGCGGAAACAGCAGCGTTGTTAGTAGTGGGAAGAATGAAGGAAGTTACATCGACGAACTGAACAGCAACGGTATTGGCAGCGTAACACATAACAGTTTTGTCCAGGAGGCACTGTCGAGGGGATCTTTGGGTGGCGCAACTCTCAAGAGGGGAAAGCGACCAATCAACTGTAAGGGGGATAATAATGGCCACGACGAAGTGAAGAAAGTAACCACAAGAAGGGGCAGAATGGTCAAACATATGGAGAAGTACGGAAAGGAGGTAATCGAAAATGTCGATGGCCGACTCTTTCTCTATAGCAATGTTAGAAAGAGTAGAAGCATCGGAGGCGCATACGCACCAGGTGGGGAGACGAACGGGAACAATGAAGAATTCGCGCGCCGAAAGTTTCACACCGAGGAGAAGAAGTCGGCCCAGCATGTCAGCATGAAGGATGATCAAAACCCACCCGTGGAAACGAACACATGTGTGTACCCAAAAAAAAGAACAGAGAACGAGGAGGAAGACCTTAGTCTAGTTATCGCTCCAAACGAATATGACGGGGGTAGAGAAATGTCAAGTAACATGAACAAGTTCAAATCGGATGATTTATTTATTAAGAAGTATGATTTGACAAATGATGAGAAGAAGCAGAAGTTGCACTTAGCCGATCTTATGCGAAGCAACGAATTGAAACGGAGTAGCGACAACTACTTTAAGCTGAATTCGAACTTTCCGAGTAACCTACTAAGTACCAGTACAAGCAGCAGCTATACCAATGACAACCTGAAGGGAAGCAGCAACAACTACAGTTTGAATGATCTCTCTTCCAACACATTGACCAGCAGATTTCAATTGGATGAAAGCATGCCCAGCAATCTGAATATGAGTTCACAAATGTACCTAAATAACTACAGCTCTTATGAGAAGAAGAGAAAAAAAACGGACAAGAGGAATTTAGACAGCTTGTATAATAACACACCGACTACATACGCGACCTGCATGAATGAATGCAGCAGCACGACGATGAAGTTCGTCGACCATGACATCAGCAACGATGAGATTATTAACCACAAGAGTAAGAATCATATTTTGAGTGTGAAGGGGGAGAACGACCCAGAGGGGATAAAAGGCCTTCAGGATGCTGCCATCAATATGGAGTACCTCACAAAGGAAGTCATTAAAGGAAATAAAAATATTATTAACTTGAATAAAAAAATGGGAGATAATAAGATGCATGGGGAGAAGAACGACTTGTTGGTGGCCGGCGAGGGAATTCCCTTCAGCGATGCGCTTAGCAGCAACTCTAATTTGCCCTACCAGTTGGTTGTCGACGATTTGGATGATAACAGAGGGAGTCTTGCCCATAGCGCCAGTCACACAAGTCGCACAAATGGCACAAACAGTGCAGACCTTGCAAACCGTGGAAACCGTCCAAACGTTACGAACAACAACAGCAGTGGCAATGATGACGCCCCCTGGGAAGACACAATTAACCAAGAGGTTGAAGGCGCCGCGAAGGAGTATGCAGACAGCGTCAACGAAAAGGAACAACCCGAAGCGATTAACAGCTCACAATTTGATGAAAGGATCCTATTCAAAAGTAAGAGCCAAAGTGACAATGGAAAATTTTTAAACTTCTTCTTGAAAAGGAAAATATCCTCCTCCCTTTCAGATCATAAAGGAGCCTACGTGGCTCACCAGATCCCACACAACATGCTGCACTCCAATGTCGTGAAGAGCGAAAATGAATTTTTGCTGAACAGAGCCAAAAGTTTGAACCTAGATTTCGGAAGACTCTCACAGGGACAGGAAGAGTATGATAATGTGCTTGATGAGCACAGTGGCGTTAATAGTAGCAAGAACGACATATACGATGACATGGTCCGGGTTAAGGATGGAAAGATGAGCAACTCCAATTTCTCCGACCCGGTTGAAATGTCTGAGGGCTTTGGTCAGCAGCTGGTCAGCGGTGAAATTGCGTCAAAGGGAAAGGAGGATGAACTCGAAGGAGAAGCTGCTAATGGAGCAGTTACTGAAACGGCCAGCGGCGCGGTTAGCGTCTCGGTTGATGGATCCCCTACCGATCAGGTTGTCGGCATGCCCACTGATGCCCCCAACCAACTATCCAACCCCATCGGGTCCAGCCCCAAAAATGAAATTGACATATCCATCTGCACACTGGCCAACTGCCCCACACACAACCCTCAAGGTTACACAAAAAATGTGTCAAGAAAAGGAGACGCGCAAGGGGAGGGAGGAATGGTAAAGGAAGAAAATGATGAACTCAAGAGAATCCCCGGAGTTTATTACGACAAAAATTCACAGAGATGGTTTGGAGAACACAAAATAAACGGTGTTAAATGTGCCCAAAGTTTTGCAGTAAAAAAACATGGATGTGAAGAAGCGAAAAGGTTAGCAATCGAATGGAAAAAGGCAAGAATAAGGGGAGAAGTATGGGACCGATTTATAAATAAAAAAAAAAAAAGTAGTAACAATCCCAACTGTGTGAGTAAGACAACGAAGACTAGCCGACCGTCTGTTGAAGAATTACGAATAAAGTATCTATCCATGAGCAAAAACATGCCAAAGGTTAGAGGAGTGTGGTTCAATTCGACTCCACAGAGAATGGGATGGGTAGGACAAGCATACAAAAAATGTAAGCGAATTGAAAGAATCTTCTCTGTTAATAAATACGGCTTCGAAGGCGCAAGAAAGCTTGCCATTGCCTTTAGAAATTCACAAAAACCCTCCAACGAAGATAGCGATGAAGACAGCTGGTCTAAGGATGACAAAATGAACATAAAAAATGTCGAAGAAAACTTAAATAACTATGAATACAAGAATGAATACCCAGAATCGAACGAAATTCCAATTACAAATAATAACAGCAGCAGTAATAGCAGTAATGAGATTAACCAAACCAAAATGGAAACCAAAGATACCAGAATTAATCTCTGTAGAGATGCTATCCTGTTCATTTTACATGACCTGGAAACTATCCTTGAATTAAACATTCCAATGCTCCATAAAAATGTGAATATTTACAAAATTTGTATAAAGCACCACTTAAATTATTTAACCCTCATCAAAAGTGAGGAGCAGATTATTCCCTACCTCAACATATTTGGTGATTATATTCAGAGGTGCATTTTGCCGACTGATTTGCCCTACGCCGAACTGTACGTGCTGATAGACTCCCTGATCCATAATGACATTTTGCCCTCATTTGACCACAAGGAGAACTTCTCCGAGTACTCCATGGCGGAGGACCCCGGAATTATTACGCCCTCCATGTTGCTGTGAATAGGTCAGAGCAGACTCAAAAAAGAAGAAAGAAAAGAACAAAAGAGAGAAAAAAAAAAAAAATTGTTGTGAAAAAAACCACCATACCGACTGGAAGCAACTATAGGACGGAACGGGCAGCAAGTTCACCTCTTGTCCATGCGCACACATAAGCAAATATCTACTCAGGGATAATTGAAGATACGACAGGAAAAGGCGTACCTACATAAAGCGCACTCGAGTTTATCCGATGAACCCCCACCATCCCCCATTGATGTAGCAAAATTTTGCTTGTCCCCGCGTGTCCAATTTTTGCAACCTTTGCAGGTGTGTGTTTCCGAGCTCTCCCTGTGCTGCTTTTTTTTTTTGGCCATCCACAACATTGCAACTTTGCAACGTTACAACGTTGCAATTTCATTTATTGTAATCTTCCCCCCCTTGATTGAATCCCTACTTCGTTTCAATTTTTCTTTTTCGCGAATGCTGTGTGAACGGTGCCGAAACCGTTTGTAATGCTTCTCGATAATGTTTATTTGCACGTTTGAGTGGACCCACCGCATTTCTGCACGAAGGATCTGAGGAATCTGTCACGAAGGTCGATCCCTTTAATAAGAATACGCGCCGATGTTACATGGAATTATCAACAGGTGTGGGTCAGTGGGCCTACACGCACATGTATTACCTACGTACGTATATCCTCCTGCGTTCGTCTTTTCCCTTTTTTCAATTTCCTCCCCCCCCCTGTGTGTGCATGTGAAAAAAAGCATTCATTGATGAATTGTGCCTTTTTTTTTTTTTAAATTCCACATTTTGCGATTACGCGGTTTTGCCACTTGGCTACATAGCTACTTATGGCTTCTGAGCTACTTGGCCGCGTTTCCCTCCCTTGCGATCTACTTACCCTTTACATTTTCTCGCATATTCCCATCATCATATCGATTGCTTTGCGTCCCATTTTTTTTTTTTTTTTTTTTTTTTTTTTTTTTTTTTTTTCCTTCGATGCAAAGAAAAATTTTCCCCTTTTTTTATCCACACATTTGTGAATAAGTCCAAACTGTTTATATGACTAGGATTTTTAAATCTTTATACAAACCAAACGGTTAAATGTACGTTTTTGCGGTTAAGTCTGGACGTCTGTAGTTGGGACTGCCAATCAGTCCGAGTGCCAATTTGCGTTAAAGTTGTCTTCTCAAGTGGTGCCTATTTGGTGGATGGCCACTTCGAATGAAATCACTTCGTGTGGTCAAAGGGGTGAGGCAAATTCTCATAAGCGTTTGCTAGGGGTCATTTTGGTCTATTGACCAGTATGTCATGTGATCTGGGCCAACAACCATGGTCATGTAGTAAAGGGAGCACAGGGCAGTACACCCCCATTCTGTCAATAAATCGAGCAGGCTCACATGGAATTATTCATCATCAATAAAAGTAGCCCATTCATAGGAAAAAACAAAGACGCGTAATAAACCTCTTTTTTTTCATTTCTTCTTCTTCTCTTTTCACGTTTCTACCAAAATGAAGAGATCCGCCTCACCCGCGTACGAAAACTGAGCCACTCTACACATATCCGATTTGGTTATCTCTGTCAAGAGGGCAGCAACAAAAAAGATGCAACCCCTGTTGGGTACCCCCTCCTTCATCTCTATCGCGATCAGCCATAAAAACTGAATTCACTTTTTTTCAACAATTTGGGAAAACATGGAATTTTTCCCTTACAGGCGTGGGTGCAGTCTCACTGGCAATATTGCCTGTTTTTCCACGTTTGCCATGTATGCCACGTTTTCCGAAGCGCTGCGTTTCGCGAAGGGACGACAGAAGCCTTATCCTATGCCCAACGTGTCAAAATGAATATTCCCTTTGCAACAAGGCAGAGCATGCACGTTGGAGAAATTGTTTTTTTTTTTAGCAGCACGTCTTGGCTCCTTCATCTTGATTCCTCCTTTTTGGCATCTCAACCTGTTTAGTTTTTTTTTTTTTTTTAATTTGCGAAAGTTTCCGCTGAGGGGCATTTTTTTCAGGGAGATCGATTTTAACCCGCGAATTTGTATCACTGCGGCTGAGGGATGCTAGTAAGTTGCTGGAGGATATATTATCTTGCTCACTTTTATGCGGATTTTTCTTCAATTTCGTAAGCACCAATATATTTGGGCTCCACGAAGAGTAAAACCTCCCTTTTGCAAGCGCACAGAAAAACCGCTTTCACTACTTTTACGACTTAGAAAGAGAGAACGCCCATTTGCGAAGAAACTTTGTGAATCAGTACAATCACATTTGTAGGCGCAGAAAATAGGGGTAATAAAATATGCAGCATTATTGTCCCTTCTCAGTCCTTTCTATTTCTCCACTGGCCCCCGCGTCTGCATATATCTACCCATGCAGGGTTCATCCCCCAAAGCGTAATCACCAAAACGGTGCATAGGTTTATGCGAGAGAAAGCTTTTATATGCTCACCCCCATGCGGGCGCTGCACCGGAAAAGGCTTTTTTTTTTTTAACTAGCACTCAGTTCGGCTAAATGGGAGGAAGCGATAATTATTTCAGACTCTCTGGTGACACACAAGCAAAAGAGCAAAAACATTACAGAACCAAAAGGAATAAAGGAGTAGACGAAAAAGCAGAATTATTTTGTTTCATATGTTTAGAGGAAAATTTGGAAAACTGCTATTTAATATCGTGTTGTTCTATATGTACAGCTTGTGTCCATAAGAGATGCTGGTATAGCTGGAGGAGAACCCAAAAGTTGAGTTCCCTACGGTCGAAGATTTTGGGGCAGAATAAGCTAGACCCCTTATTATGTACCATCTGCAAAACTGGGACAGCCAAAATAGAAGACGAGAAGGACTTTAATTGGATGGTTAACAATAACAGTAATAAGGAGTACCTGCAGGATCAGTTGCTAAGAACGATTGCATCCATTTTGAACAATGAAGGGAATGACAACAGCATCCCTATTCTTCATTTCAGATATATTTTTTCCATTAACTTAATTTTTTTAATCATAACAATTGTTGTGATTATAATTTTTACAGTCTTTTTTCACTTTACTGCCACGTACGTGCTACTGATTGCTCTCTTCGTACTCTACGAGATTATCGTTCTTCAGATCGTTCTGTATCTATATGTCAGGATCAGATATAGCTAATGGCTTTTTGTTAATGCTTCCTTTTAAGCACCAGAAGCGAATTTGACTTTTCCCCGTATAGGTTGTTGTACCAGTTGGGGAAGAACGCACCCAGGGAGACCCATCTATTTTTTAGTGTAACAAATCGGATGAGGCGTTTTGCGCAGTGCGAAGGCACACACGTGATCGCATCCACCGTTTAGCGGATGGTTGCCCCTTCCTTTACGTAGCTGCTACGCCTTTTTATGATTATTTTTTTTTATGTCTTTGTTCAAGATTAGCGCTAATTCCTGTACAGCAGTTTGTGTGCATGCCCAGGGGGGAATCCTTTCGAATTTTTTCGTTTTTTTTTTCCTTTTTTCTCTTGCCTCTTTTTCGCAATTATTAAAACGCACTGCACAGCTCGTAACTTTCGTCGTTTCAGTTTGGAAACGGTTTTATGTTTGATTTAACTAAACGTTTGGCAGCTCCCCTTGGAGAGAACCTTCAACGCGTATTCTCACCAAAGCGCATTGCCGGACAGAAGAGCAGCGCTCTGATCTACAGCGGCGCGCCTTTTTTGCAAACATTTGGAAAAAAAGTGCAGAACAAAATGGGGTGAAGCGAGGGTAACACCTCAGAAGGCGAGAAGACAGAGGCCAACTGCTTAATCGCAGTTGAGGAATTTTTTTTTTTTTCCTCGGCACAATTCAATCACATGGGTAAAAAAAAAAAAAAAAGCCTTATCACACGCACCCCGCGGCGCCAATCTTGGAAATCCATTTTGAATCCCCCTTTTCCTGGCGTTAGCCAACCCATTGCTCTGCCAAATTGTGGTAAAAACTCCCCCGGTTTGCTAACCTCGACTTGTCTAAGTTGTAATTGTGTAGTTCGTTAAACGCTCTTAGTATATTTTCTTCACCAAGGCTGTCGACGCCGAGAAAAGTGCCAGTCCTTAGATACCGTGGCATGGCAAGAAGGTCGACCTTGAGTTTCTCTTCCCCCTCTCCCATGGGACTCTTCCTTTTAATGTGCTTCATACGATTTAGCAAAAATTGCAACTGTTCCAATTGCTGCTTCTGGACATTCAGAACATAATTAATTTTGTTTTTATCTTCTTGCATTAATCTTATTTCGTTTTTAATGTCAAGGAGGAAGTCTTTTTTTTCCTTTTCTACGAACTCTATGTTCCTCCAGTCCTTCGGTTCAACATTGTAGTGTATGTTGAATGCTGGGAATGGTGAGTCGAAGTTTGTTTCTTCATTTGTCTGATTTCTCTGCGGGAAATTTTCATTCCCCTTTTTTGTTGGATCCATGCTTCGCACAGAAATGGTCAAAATTAGCAGAAGAAAAAGGGGTGCCATTGTTTGGAGGGGCGCCATTGTTGGAAGCGGTGCCAATATTGCGAGAGGCGCCTTTGTTGAGATCCGTTGGAATGTGGACGTGGGTTAGACAGGGTAACATTCCTGTTGGAGGGACTGCGTGAATGTATTTGCTCATCAATGCGATGATAAGCAATTGGTTTAGCCCTATCCCACCAATACGCGTAATCCCCCGTCTCGCAGCACGTCGAGGGAGCAAAATTGATGGGCATACCCCAAGTGCTCATGAGAAATAGGAGAAACGGCGCGGAGGCATATATACACACGTTCACACTGTGGGGGGGAACCTGTACGTACACCTCTTGCGACATTCACGAGTAGGTAAAATCACTACCGTTGGAACATTCAAAGTTGGCGAAACTGATTAAGTTTCATTGTGACGGTAAATTTTTTGCGAAAGAACAAAAGAGAAAAACGGTCTCAATATTGCTATCATTTTTTTCGTGGCACTTCAAGATTGTGACAACTCGTCCAAAATCATTATGCGCATTAATGTTAAAGCGAAGGAAATGGAAAGAATGTTGTGCCCCTCTCCTCCTTATGTCTTTTTTTTTCTCTTGAGGAGTCCAATAAGATAGGCGTGATAGCGATACTGTGCCGAAATTGGGGTTAACTTTTTTTTTTTTTTACGAGTCCACTTTGCAGGCCTAAATGCAGTTGTTCTTTTTAGTGCATTCATGGACCAGTTAAACGAAAAAGGGTAATAAGACCAGGTCGTTTCCTACCCTTTCGTTTTTATGATTTCCTTGGGCGAAGTTGTAAAGGTGTAGGTGCGTTTACAGGGGAATACTGGTGGCCCAAGGGGGGGTAAACGGTCGTGACCTTCACAGCAAGTTTTTTCTAAAAATGAGCCGTTCCACATTGGTACAGAGGGGTTAACCCTCTTGCATTAATGCATACCTTTTTTTTCTCTCTCGCGAACATAATTGAACATTCGCCCAATGTTACTCACTGTGTGGCCATTACTTCGCCTGTTTGCTTTGTTACACCGGGGCTTACACTTGGCTTGGCCATTTTTTTCGCTGAAATGAAATGCCGATCATGGGAGTGAATCAGGAGGAGGGGGGATAGCCAAAAAAAAGGAGAAAAAAAACAGAAAAAGAATAAAATAAATGGAATAGAAGAAATAAAAAGGATAGCATAAATAAAAGGAATAGAAGAATTTAGAGAAGAACTTCCACTTTGGTATTTGAAAACGGGGGCTTGGAGGAGGGAATTCGTGATGCTTCCCCCAATCGGCCCGAGTAAAACGCCCCCCCAATAGCGTAAGAACTACCTTATGATGAACATGCGGTTGGCGAAGTCCCTTCCCATTTTCGCCCTCCTCGTGGAACACCTACTGACTCGTACAAAGGGGAAAACCTGGTGCGCTAACGTCTCCACAGTCGGCCGTTTGAGAGGATGGAGATTCCTCAGAAGGCAGGTAAGGGGAGAAGCGCCCTGTCCACCAACACCCAGAGACATGGCAACATTTTCACGAAAAATAAAATCATCTGATGGGAAAAAAATGAAGAAGAGAAAACAATACTTCTTTCTTACAAACATCATACGGGCGGATAAAATAAAGGGGAAGAGACAGGAGGAGCACAAGAAGCGTCGTCCCTTCCGCTGCAATGACTATGACGCAAAGGATATTGTCATTCTGGAGGGACTGGAAGCAGTGAGAAAGAGACCTGGTATGTACATCGGAAACACAGACGTGAAAGGACTACACCAAATATTGTTCGAAATTATTGACAACTCGGTCGACGAATATAACAACTTTGAGTGTAATGAAATTAAAATTGTTCTTCACGAAGACGACAGTATTACGATAGAAGACAATGGAAGAGGCATACCCTGTGACATTCATGAGAAGACAAACAAGTCGGCTCTAGAAACGGTCCTGACTCTTTTACATTCCGGGGCGAAGTTTGTCGATGACGAAGCTGCGACGGAGTTGGCGGGAAGAACCTGCATGGGAGGCCTAAGCGCTGAAGTCGCGGAAGACGAACGGGGTGCAAAGGGGCAGAAGAAAGGATATTCGAAGCCCATGGCAAAGGTGGTGGAAAAGATGGACGAAAAAAATTCGCAAAAGAAAAACCCAAAGGAACCATCCCAAAAAAGTGCATCCCAAATGTACAGATTCTCGTCCGGCCTCCATGGAGTCGGTCTTTCCGTTGCCAACGCCCTGAGCAGCTTCATGAAAGTGAAGGTTTTTAGAGGGGGCAAAATTCACAGCATCGAATTGGAAAAGGGAAAAGTAGTAACCCCGCTATTTGTTCGGGACTGCCCAGTTAGAAAGAGAGGAACACAGATACATTACAAGCCAGACCACAGCATATTTAAGAACACCATCAGGCATAACGCGGAGCTGATAAAAAATAGGATCCACCAACTGGCCTACCTGAATGACAGGCTCAGTTTCTACTTTTACGATGAAAGGGCGGCTAAGAAAGCTGCAGCGTCAGTTCATTTGCCCAAGGGGGGGGATGCTGTGGACGCGGTAGACGCGACAGACGCGGAGGAGAAAGGAACGACCGTTGCTGTAGACACTGCGGAAGAAAAAACGACTCATGCTGTGGACACCGCGGCGGAGCACAACAATCTGGATTTCTACCCCTACGAGGTGATAAAGCACGAGGGGGGGCTAAACGAGTACATGGAAAGCTTAACGAAAAATAAAGTAAGCCTGTTCAAAGACAATAATAAAATTATTAGCATCTCTTGTCACCAGAAAAATGTCCATATCGATTTAAGAATGAAATGGTCGCAAGGTCAGTACCATGAATACATCATCAGTTTTGTGAACAATGTAAACACTACCGATGGAGGGACTCATGTAGATGCAATGAAATATGCCATCAGCAGGTGTGTAAATTTTAATATAAAAAAAAACGAGGCAACAAAAAATTTTCTTAACATCCCAGGAGAGTACATAAGGGAAGGAATGACAGCCATTTTGTCGATCAAAATGAATAACCCAGAATTTGAGGGGCAGACAAAAACTAAACTCGGTTCCCACTTCTTAAAGCCCATTTTGGAAAGTGCCATTTTTGAGAAACTGTCTGAAATTTTCGATTTCGAACCGAATTTGCTCAACACAATTTATTTGAAGGCTTTACAGGCTAAGGCAAGTGATGAGGAAGCCAAGGCGGCGAGAGATTTAATCAGGTCTAAAAATAGTCAGTATTATTCGACCATATTGCCAGGAAAATTAGTTGACTGCATAAGTGACGACATAAATCGTAATGAAATTTTCATCGTCGAGGGAGACAGTGCTGCAGGAAGTGCTAAACAAGCCAGGAACAGAGAAATACAGGCGATTCTTCCCCTTAAGGGAAAAATACTTAACGTAGAAAAAATTAAAAATAATAAAAGGATATTTGAAAACTCAGAATTGAAATCTCTAATAACGGCCATCGGCTTGAGCGTCAGTTGTGACAACACCAAAATGACCAAGGGGAAAAATATGCTCAATAATAAAAAAAAAGATCTCAAGAAAAAATATGATTTAAAAAGTTGCAAGAAAGAAAATGTACAAGTTAACAACACAATGGTAAATAAAAAGAAAAATCCGCTTCTTGATACCCCACCTTTAAGGTATGGAAAAATTATCATCATGACGGATGCCGACGTCGATGGAGAGCACATACGAATACTGCTCCTAACCTTTCTGTACCGATTTCAGAAAGATATTATACAAAATGGAAATGTCTATGTTGCATGTCCACCCTTATACAAAGTCACATACAACCGATTTTTTGACAGCACTATAAAGGAAATAGTAATGAAACAGTTTAACGTGAGTACGAGGAATTCTAAGACTCTTATCCATACATACTCAGATGACGAATTAAATGTGCTACTGGGACTGTTGGACAAGGATAGATCTTCTCACGCTGAACATTGGAGCTTCGAATTGGGAAAGGGAGGGCCTGGCCGTGGGGGCAACATCCCAAGTGACGAACATCGCAGCGGTCTGGCCACTTTGGCTAATTTGAATTTCGGATACAACAGCGCCGACGAGGTGACGCAGAAGGGGGGTCTCAACACGGACGATACAAATGCCGCGCGGACTGGCAACACTGCCAACACTGCCGACACCGCGATTGGCACTTCCCACCTCAGCGGTAACGCATTTTTTACCTTCTCCAAACGGTACGAAATACAACGGTTCAAGGGGCTCGGGGAGATGATGGCTGACCAACTGTGGAGCACCACCATGGATCCGCGCGTGCGGAAGCTGATTAGAGTGACTGTCAACGACGCCATGCGGGCCAACAATTTGATTTTCTCCCTCATGGGGGAGGACTCCAAGTTGCGCAAAAGCTTCATTCTGGAGAATTCGCCCGCGCCAGGGTGACAGCCTCGAACGTGCTGATACACGACGTGATGAGGCAATTGAGCCCTTCCCATTAGCCCTTTTCTATGAGCACCTTTTACTTGCATCACATTGCACGCCACTTTGGCACCCCCGCTGTAGTCCTTTTTTTCGTTTCAGAGGGGGAAATAACCCAACCATTTGGCTGAAATGATTTCGTTTTAAATAAGCAGTTTCTTGCCTTCTTGACTCTGTTGATTATAAATAACAAGCAAAGTAGCGGTCGCGAAAAGCGAACTGGCGGGGGACCACATGAATATAGCACAAGGGGTGTTGGGGTGACGGTGATCAGCTATCCCAAAAAAGACGTTTTCGGTGTGAATTCCGCTATGGGTTGCGATCTGTGATGCGCTATAGCATGTGCGACGCGCGCCAAAAATGAGCTCCCCCAAATCAGCTCCCTCAAATTAGCTCGCCCAAATCAGCTCACCGCGTACAGGTCCACAATTTGAAGATTCATAAAGTGCGGGTTGTTGGAATAAAAATAAATGTCGTCAATTATTTTATGGCTGAGTGTGCCTGGGCCGGTCTCCTTTTGGTAGGCCTTAAAAGCGGCCAGTTTGTAAATTAGTGTGGCAGCTGTGCATGCTATAAAGGGGTTCTGAGGAATAACGGATGTTGCGGCAGCGCATAGTGCACCAACTGAACACCCCGAGCCGGTAATTTTGGTCAAAATTTTTAAATCGCAATTAATTTGGGCTACATAATTTGAGCAGGGGCTAACAATGATGTCGGCTTTTGACGTGACAACAACTGCACAGTTATATTTCAAAGCAACATTCCTTGCACTAGCAATTATATCACTTTGGATATGTGCTGAACTACTGTTGCTATCTACCCCTTTCCCCAGAAACTCTCCTTTATCTAGATAAACTATTTCAGCTATATTTCCTTTAATGACATTTGGCTTGCACTTAACAATGATGTCTTTGATTAGGTCTGTCCTGTACTGTGTTGCCCCTACGGCTATTGGATCGATTATAAAAATGAAGTCTTCCTTCTTTTTTTCTTGTCTCATTTTGTGCAGCACATGTAAGTTATCCACTTGACTTGTGTGCAAGCCTAGATTGAAGTAGGTACAGGAGGCTATTTGTGCAAATTGTTCCACTTCCTTGGGATTGTCAATCATGGCTGGGGAAGAACCAAATGCTAGCAAACTGTTTGCCACCTTTTCCGTTGTTACTCTGTTCGTAATACAGTGCACCAGTGGATTCACCTCCTTGACCTTTTCTATGCAACTGATTATCTCATCTTGGTGCTTTCTCACATTGATTAGTTTGGTGAGGCCGGAAAAGTGCCTCACTTTGGAGAAAGGTCTACAACGATTCATTTGGCTCGAACGGCCTTCCCCCCAAAAAAGGAAAAAGAAACTAACGCCAGTGTTACACGCAAGGTGGGATAGTAAGACTACACGTTTGAGCGAATTGCGTGGCGGGGGATCCCGACACTGATATGTGACAAGTGGAGTGGTCTCTTCATCACATGGACGTTGGCAAGCATCACCGTGTGATGGGAGGAGCGCCTCATTTCTACGCGTAATATTTCCCACCTCAGTAGGAGCAAAAATGAGGCGGAAACGGCGGATGGGCGTTACCCTACTCACAACGTAAAATACGATTGTGCCACACTAGATGGAGCGGTCCCACAAAAAAAAAAAAATGCCTACTTGAAAAATTCAACAGGTGCTGCGGAGGAGCGGTTAATTGGGAAAAAAAACCTTTTTTACGTAAACCTTCACTCGGGCGCCAGATCCACCAAATTTGAATAATTCAAGGGGTGATAAAGAGGTAAGCATACCATGTGTCATACGTTTTGCGATTATTAAAGGGCTATACAATGAGCTTGTCGTTTTAGCTTATGGCTAAAAAAAGTTTTATCTCCCTTCATCACTTCGACTGCAGCATAGGATGATGGGGTTCGCAACGTAAGCCCATTTGGCCCTTTTGCGCGACGCAGACTCCTCGCTTGAAACGGTACATATATATAAGCATACTGCGCAGTGGTGTAAAAAAAAAAAAAGAAGAAAAAAAAAAAGAGAAACAGAGTGTCACTTAACTTCAAGTAATAACAGCGTGTGGGTTAAATTTAAAAAATCCCGACCAAGTGGATTGCCCAACAGCAGAACGGAAAGAAAAAAAAAAGTAATGCTTCACAGAACATGACATTTTTGTATGGCACAATTTTGACAAAGGTACAAGCGGCACAAGCGGATTATGACAAAATAATGGAAGCAATTTTGAAGCTCCTTAGCCGTACATCCGAGTAAATAACCAAATGGTACCAGCGTTCTTGTATGCGTGAATGCAGGGCAACCCTTCTTTCATAGGAATAAGGGTGAACATTCTGAGATTCTCGTTTTTTACTTCCCCCAGGGAGCGTCCCATCTGTGCAGGTACCTTTATGTATGCGCATCGCGCAAGCGTAATGCCCCACTTTTACAGCGGAAAAAAATAGGGACGTTTGGATAGGCCAAAACGGCAATTTGCGAACAGGCTTATTTTGCAGCAGGCGAGCGCGCGGGAGGTTGGGGCACACGACGCATGTTAACCCCTCCCAGGTGCTGCAACGTGGTGTCACGCGCTGTAACGTGCTGGCAAGCTATGTAACGTGCTGTCACTTTAGGGAGAGAAGGTGTATCCCCCCACCTGCATCCATCTTCCCATAGGGATACCACAATACATTGCACACGTGTGTGGAAGTCAGTCACAATAAGCACCTGCGCATGTAGGCGTATGTCTTCCCATTTATGCAAGTCGCCCGCGGTTTTATTTCATCCCACTTCCCACCCTGTAGACCAAACACATGTTTAAGAATTACCAGAAGGCGGTGAAGAGAATTATGAATGCCAAGTATGAAAATGAAAGCTTCGTGTCAACAGGGTCAAACAAAGACAGCGATGAGGAAAATTCAGAATTGTTACAGAACAAAGAGGAGCTAGGAATGAACAAGAGGAAATCAAAAAAATCAGACAACGATAATAGGAAGTACAAATATTACGAAAACTTCTTTAACAAAAAGAGAAATAAAAAATGGAATTATTTTATAATATTTTTTCTGGGCATATGTTTCGGCTTTGCCATTTGGCCATTTTTCATGACCATAATAACGTATAAATTATTTTACAAAGACAATTTTAACAACTCCAATTTTAATACCAGCAACAGTTCAGCATCATTGAAGCCGTATGGAAATGACAGAAATAAAAAAGGTGAAAATGGAAAGGCATCCATAAGAGATCAGTCCCAGAAAAATTCCTCTCACCATTTTAGGCCCATCCGATTTGAAGAAATCGCCGGAATTGATGAATCAAAGTTGGAACTCCTCGAAGTTGTTGACTTTATAAGGAATAGAGAAAAGTACCAAGAGATGGGCGCAAGAATGCCTAAGGGCGTTCTTCTCGTTGGTCCTCCAGGGTCAGGAAAAACCATGCTAGCTAGGGCAGTAGCCACAGAAGCAAATATCCCATATATTTATACGTCCGGACCAGAGTTCATCGAGATATATGTAGGACAAGGGGCAAAAAGAATAAGACAGTTATTTGCACACGCAAGGTCGGTTGCTCCATCGATCGTTTTTATTGACGAAATTGATGCCATAGGAGGGAAAAGAAGTTCCGGTTCTGTGAATGGCGCTGGGCAGAGAGAACATGATCAGACGCTTAATCAGTTGCTAGTCGAGATGGATGGTTTTAGCAACACTGTCCATATTATGATTATAGGTGCAACCAATCGAATTGATACTCTAGATAGTGCCCTACTGCGACCTGGCAGATTCGATCGAATCGTTTATGTCCCCCTACCTGATGTTAATGGAAGGAGAAGGATCCTAGAAATTTATATCAAAAAAATTAAAAGCGATTTAAAAACGGAAGATATTGACAAAATAGCTCGATTGACTCCTGGTTTTTCAGGTGCTGACTTAGAAAATGTGGTAAATGAAGCAACCATCCTAGCCACTAGAAATAAAAAAAGTGTAGTGACCATTGGGGAGCTGTTCGAAGCTAGAGATAAAGTTTCCATGGGTCCAGAGAGGAAATCTCTAAGACAGTCCGACCATCAGCGAAGAATTACTGCTTATCACGAAGCGGGACATGCAATCGTGGCGTACTTTCTTCAACCCAAAACGGACCCAATACATAAGGCTACCATTATCTCAAGAGGCAATGCCCTTGGGTACGTAGAACAAATCCCAGTGGATGATAGGCACAACTATTTTAAAAGCCAAATGGAAGCAAAATTGGCCGTCTGTATGGGTGGAAGAACCGCAGAAGAAATCGTTTTTGGAAAATCTGAAACGAGTAGTGGTGCTTCTAGTGACATTTCTAGAGCTACCGAAATTGCTTACAAAATGGTAACCGAGTGGGGAATGTCTGACAAGCTGGGTCCACTTAATTACAAGAGAAGAATGGGAGATGGATACTCCTCAAACCGATTATCAGCTCAAACTATTTCCACTATTGAAGTAGAGGTGAAGGCGCTGGTAGAGAAGGGCAAAAGCTTATCCGAAGAAATCCTAAGAAGGCACAGAAAGGAACTGGACAATTTAGCCTTTGCACTGCTCGATAAAGAAACCCTATCCGGAGAGGAAATAAAAAAGATTATTGATCCAAACAACACGAGGGATTACTCCGGCAAAGTGCCTGCTCTAAGTAAGAGCAACAAATCGGACAACACTCCAAGCCGCCCAGAAAATGAAAAACGGGAAAAGAAATCCACACGTGGAGAAGGAAGCAGCACAGATGAAAACCATACAGATGATAATCGCACAAATGAGGAACCCACAGGTAGAAGCGCACGAAATGAGCGACACGCAGAGAAGCAGGCCGATAAAGGAACCCCCCCGGAACAACTCAAAAGTGCTGGGAGTGAGAATTTGCTGAAAAAGAAGGGAAAACTAGGTGAACGGGAAAACCAAGGACATACAGGCTCCGCAGACAATGGCAAAATCGAAATTGTGAGGGAAAACGTTAAAGACGCAGTCAAAAAGATAAAGAAGAAATACGCCAAAGACCCCAATGTTAAGAATAAAAAAATACTGAAAGTTGTGAATGAGCATAAACCACACCACGCGGATAGGAAGGCGGATGGGGGAAATTTCCAAAATAAAAATGGCTTAAATGGCTCAAATGGCCTAAGTGGCCCGCTGGGAAAGCTGGATCAACACAACTACCCGAAGGGACACTCGCCCCACGGCGACGATAACAACAGCGTGGTAAAAAATATGAGAGAAGTGTTTAGCAAGGATTTTGCTTCCCCCTCCGAACAAGATGGCGATAATGAGAGCCCCGATTTTGTAAAAGCGAAAGAAATGACCCTTAACATTTTCAAGGAAGCCGTGGAGACGTCGCACATAAAGAACGTCGGCGAAATGAAGAAATTCAACATTTTTGAGCACAACTTGGGTAAACTCTTCCTCTTTGACATCTTTGGCAGCTAGGCTTCTGCGGTGATGCTTTTGACAGCATTTTGCCCCGTCTATTCCCCCCCCTCTATTTACCCCTTTTTTTTGTTCCCCCCCTCTGTTTGCACCAAATGGAAACCATTTTTTTAAAAGCTTAGTGTGTCCGCGTACTGCTCGACCCGCAGCAGGTGGGCACTAAGCACCTGTCAATAAAAGAAAAAGAAAAAAGAGGCCTTTATACGTGAACATACAAACGCACATGCACATGATTGAATGGAGGCGTGTTTACGGGAGTATGTGCCCGTGCCCCCAGTCTACTCACATTGTGCCCTTCTAAAGCAAAATTACAGATATGTCTATGTTTTATTAATTGTCTCTTTTTATTTTTTTTATCCCCCAACGAATTTTTAGTTTAACACAACTCTCATCTACTTTTGAGGTTTTCTCAATTTACAATTTTATGTAAAGCTTGCTCGTTTCTGGTTCACCACAATGGTTTGTATTTCTATTTCTTCTAAACCTATTGCGTAACAAATCAACAGGTGTACTTGCGAAAAGGTGGGAGTTCCTGCCCGTCTTCCACACCTTCCACGATCATATGGAAGAATCCAGCATATGTATAGTACTACCCATTTGGCGATGACCCTCTGTCCAGTGCTCACATAAGGGGGCTAGTCAGACAAAAAGTGTTCGTAATTCACTTTGTTGCCTCTTTTTTTGCATTGCACCCGCGAGGATTTTCCCCAAATTCGCGAATTTTCCTTTTCATCTTTCCTCTTTAAACACGTGATGCTGGTATGATGAAGCACCTATGGAAGGAGCAAACCCCCCATCCCCAGCTGTCGTACCCCCCTTATTTTGTAAACTCTCCTTTTTGCTAAATAGCACAGTGTGGAAGAGGGAGAAAAAAAAAATAAAATAATTTCATAATGCACAACGCTTTGGACTGTTCAGAAAAAAAATAATTTCCCCCTTTTTGTGATAATCCAAGTGTGGCAAATAAACCGTACGATTAAATACCTCATTGGGTACGTTTTCTCTGTTCCCCCCTTTTGGATTATCCCCCAGATGTTTTTTCACGTGGAAAATGGTTAACCACGTTTTATAGGGGCGGTGGAGCGTACACTTCCGCAGGGGCCAATCCAAAGTAGAGTAAGTATAAACATATGGCGGTAAGAAAAAAGAAACGTTAAACATAAAATTGCAAGGAATTGAACGGGGGGCATATTTGAAGATATACCCCATATGCGAACAGGCAAAATGAACTTAACAAAATGTTGTATGCACCCTTATGGGTGAACATACCGTGATAGTCCCTCCCTTGGGCGCGTTGCAACTTTACGACAGTAGTGCAAATTTTGGGTGGAGAATAATTCCCCATTTGGTCCCACGAAGAAAAGGGAGACAGTTCCTCCAGCTAAGAAGGATTATCCCCTATCCGTAAAAATAATCAAAAATAGTGGAAACATCCAACAGGGTTTATACTGTAAGCGCAGGAAATGAACACGAGGGGTGTACGCCAGTGGGTAGGAAGCTTGAAAATGCTTCCAGTGGGTGAGAACTAACTACTATTTGTAAACGGTTGCCATAAGTTCATATACATGTGAGTACATAAAACCCTCTTCATCCATAATTTATCGTATGTGCAAAAAAAAAGAAAAGAAAATAATAAAAGAATACAATTGGGAATTTTACCTTCATACAAATTCGACCTTTTCCATTTTGACAATTTTTACATGTGTAAGGATGCACTCTAAAGGGAAAAAAAAAAAAAAAAAAAACAATTGGGAGAGGGGCATTTCCGCAGATCGCAGGAGTTCCTCTAATTTTCCATTTTTCTTTTTTTTAAAAATTATAACGATATGTAGTTACAAATAAAGTATCACAAAAAAAAAAAAAATCGTAAAAAAGCGTTTTTAAAATGAATGTAAAATACGTTCATTAATTTGATTCCCATTTGTGAGATAAAAAATGCTCCATTTGGAAAGCGCAAAATCAGTGACTTCAGTCCTTGCGCGCGTGTTTATGTTCATGTGTTAGGCCCTACGCGAAATTTGCGCGGAAAATTGCTCCTCACAGTACCGTGTACGAATGCACAGTAAAAGGTATGTACCTGTGAATATGCGCGTGCCATGCGACTCGTCTGAGCAATAAATTCCCCGCAAGTTTACGAACCTCAGGCCCGGGGAAAAACATTCCCGTTCTGATTATTTCTTTTTAACAGAAAGGCGCTGGCATTGTGAGTAAGAATGCAATGCGCTGAGGGAGACTGCCTCACGCGAGTTTGTACAGATAACATATTATATACCTTCCAATTGCGTCACTTCTCCGCCTGAGTGTAAAAGTTAAAAATTTTACCGTGCGCGGGGAATACCTCTTCGAAGGCATCTACACCCAAGGCATCCATCCTTCCGGTGATGTGTGTTTCGGCACGCCAGGAGTTTGAAAATTGTTTTTGAGTACGAACCGAACGCGTACTACCATGCACACATATGTATGTACTTACCTGCGTCCGCGCTACCCGATACGTTTGTAAGTGTAAAACCCGGACGAGCAGCTTGGGACGGTAGCGGAATGCGACAATTCGTTTGTTAAAAGCGTTTGTGCATGTGTGTACTATGTTTGCTGGTGCACACGCGCAGGCATACTTGGAACGCTTTGCCAAGGATGTGATTCTTACAACTGACGAAGACGTTGCACCCCTCCCCCCACCTCCAGTACGCATGTACATATCAGTACCTTAGAGCATACACATCCACACGCAGGTGTGCTCCGCGAGGGGGCCCCATCATTCTCGGAAGCCGCGCCGAGTGTGTAAAACCAAATGTACATTAGCCCGCACTCCAGTAAATTCCTCTGTCGAAGCCCCGTTGTAAATTATTAAAGGGAAAAGGACACGACGAACTGTTGCGCGGATAGTGGGCCAGACGACATCATAACGTGAGGAAGTCGTGTCTGACGCTAAACCTGCTAACAGTATCCGCCTCGGCACGGACACGCTGACCGCGAGAGGAGTCCCAACCAAGAGCAGCGGTAGAAGCAGCCGTCCCAAACCATGACGCTCGCATTGCCCCGAAAAATGAGAACAAAATGGAACACAATAACATCATAAACGAAGTTGTTAAGCTGAAAACGGAGCTGAAAAATGCACTGGTGGAAAATGGGCAGCTAAAAAAGAGGCACCAGGAAGACACAGAAAAGATGAACATAGTTTCGCTGAAAAACGCCACTCTGTTGAGTGAGATAGCGGACGAGAAGAAAATGCTGCAAGTGGAATTCAATAACTACAAGGAGGAGTCAGTAAAGGACATAAAGAGGCTACAGGAGGAGCTGGACAAAAATGTAATTATGTTAAATTGTCTTAAGGACGAAATTCTCTTCAAGGAAGAGGAACTGAAGAAGGCGGAAGTAATTGAGAAGCTATACAAGGAGGAGACCCAATTGAATCAAGAAAAAGATAGGAAGATTAAAGAGTTAGAAAACATCCTAACACGGAGGGGAGCGGGAGAAAGGGATGCACCTTCAAAGGAAGACCAAACGAATGATAGGCATCTCGAAATGGAACAAAAGAACGAAGAATTGAAAGCGTTAAATAAAAAATATGAACACCTAAAAAAAACAAACAACGAAATTGAGAAGAAAATATACTTCCTAAAGGAAGAAGTAGATTATTACAAAAATAATGAAAACAGTTTTATAATGCAAAATATTTTTAATGCGGAAAATAATTTAGACGATTTGACGTGCAAGAAGTATCTTTTGAAGATATCAGTCCTGTACAACGCTTTACACACAATTGTCGTGTGTGATCAGAGAAGTCTATTCGAAAAAGACAAATTGATTTACTCCCTGGAGAAGGAAAATACCCACTTTTTGAAAAAATTCATTGCAGATGAGATGTACTGTCTTTACCTCAAAGATTGTATCAGTAAAATTAACTTGACGTATCAAATTGATCTGCACAAACAGGAGAAGAAATATATGCTACTCAACTCAGAGTACGATCAGCTGTACAGTAAGTTTCTGCAGGAAAAGAACGAGAATTGCTTACTCAACGAAAGGTATGATAAAATTATTTTCAATCAAAAGAAAGAAATTAATAACTTGAAGAGCCATATCTCGATACAGAACAAGGATAAAGAAATTCTTACCAAGTATATCGACAACTACATCACTTATATAGAGAATTCCTATGAGAAGTATTGCCTTCTCAATACAGAGTATAAAAATTTAGAAGAGTTAGTCAAAGACTTGGAGGAAAAAAACAAAAACTTGATGATTCTTGTTAATGGGATAAATGCAGACATGGAGGAGAATCATTCCAAGAGCACCGAACTAGAGAATGATAATAGAGCAAAACATAAAAGGAACACCATAACGATGGATATTGATCATATGAAGTTAATCAAGAATGATATCAAAGATAAGGACATAAAAATTATCGAATTGGAGAGCAAAAATCTGGAACTTCAAAAAACCATTGACAAACTTAACGACGAACTGGTGAGGAACAGAAGAACGGAGTACGAAGAAAGCGAGTCCTCCAAAATTAAAGACCTCTGCTTCGATTTAAAGGATATCTGCTCCAAATTGGAACTAGAAGTGAAGGAGAAAAATTACATCATAGAGGAGCTCACCGAAAAGATAACTCAGGCAGACAAAAAAAGCAAGGATAATCAAGTCATCCTAGAATTGTCCGAATTTAGAATTCAAAATTTTAATGATAATATGAAATATTACCAACAGAAAGTGGCCGAATTTGGTGAAAAACTGCAAAAGAAAGAAGCTGAAATGGCTATCTTTCACGAATATAATGAACGGTTAAAGGAGGAAAAGGAAAAAATGACCTACGAGCAGGTCAAACTGGTGGACCGGCTAAACGAATTACAACTCGAAAATGAACATCTGAGGAATGAAGTAATCTTCCTAAAAAAAGAAGCCTCCTTAAGTAAGAACCACCCTGCTGAGAAGGACAAAGTTAATCCAAGTAACAATCGTGTTATCAGCGCAGCCCTAGTGGCGGATGACAACTCCTACGTGAATGAAAAATCCACGACTCAGAACGATGAGCGCAGCGATCACCATTCTGAGTACGAAGAAAAGGCAGAAACAAACGGCAGCATCTATAAAGGCATCTTCAAATTCATGCAACCTAAGAAGAACACCCATGACGAAAATGACCAACTAGGGTTAACAGTAGCCAAACTGACCGACGAAAATTTGCTCCTCATTAAGGAAAATGAAGAAATTTTTGATAAACTTCAGACGGTGTCCAGCGAAAATGTGAAACTTAAAAACGAGTGTATGTACGTCAAAGCGGATGCAGAAAAGTCACTCTTCTATCTTGAGTATGAAAAAAAGGAAAAGCTAAAATATAAATTATTGCTCAGGCAAAATAAACGAAAAGGGAAAGAGCTGAAGAGAACATTTAACAAAATGATGGGCACTATGAAAGATCTAATCATCAGTGTAAAAAAAATTGACAAGGAAAACAAGAAAAATGATATTAACAACTCCTTCTTTATATCCTCTTCCTCCGAAAATAATTCCACTGAGGAACTCATCTCAGATAACGACAACACAAACACGCAGTTTGTGGTATCTTCTGTGGGCAAGTCCAAAAAGAGTCTCAACAACACCAGTGTCGACGGTAAGCATAGCTTTTACAGCAGATCGACCAAGGTTCCTAGAGCCTCGGAAAATGAAAACGGGGGCGGAGAAAGACAATCCCAGGGGAGGAACACACACCGCACACATAGGAACCAGAGAAAATCCACCAAGAGATACATGAAAATTCGAATGCACAGATTCTCCATTTGCAGCAACTTTAAGATAAACGTAAACAAGTATAAGAAGGCGTGTAAGGAGGCGGAGGAAGGCGCCATGTTCTTCCTGAAAGATACTGGCTGTGCCAACCTCCACTCGTTGGCAATTCAGCCGAGAAACGCCAAAGGTCTGGATACGTTTTACTCCATCCCGAACAGCAGCGACTCCAAGGTAATAAACGTATCAGAGGAGGAGAAGAAGAAACACAACAAGAAGAGAAAGGCAAACAATTTTTCCATATTTCAGACTTCCAAAATGATCAACGATCTTAACTACATTCGAAGAAAGTATGAGTCGAAAGTGAAGGAAACATTAACCATGCAGAAGAAGTTGATGGAGAATGAGAAGGAGCTGAACGGCACCAATATAAAGTACGAGAATCTGCTGAACGAACACGATTCGCTCATTTCGCAGATTAAAGAAAGGACGGAAAAGCTATCCAGCATAGAAAAAAATTACAATCTCTTATTTGAAAAGTACAGCGAAACACAAGACGAAATGAAGATGCACGAAAAGAAGTCACAGGAAATTTTTAATGAGTGTAACGAGTTAGTAGAATATATGAGAAAGAAGGAAAACAAAATTAAAGAATTCGATGACCACTTAAAAAAAATGGAAATAAAATACAAGGAGGAAAAAGAAAAAAATGACATCCTCACAAAGGATAATGTCTCGCTCGATAATTTAAATGCCAAGTATAAGGAAGACATCGAACTGTATAGGAAAAAACTGGAGAGTATGCAGACGGAGTTAAAGTTAAGACTGTCCAAAATTGATGAGCTGGAGTTAATTCAGAAAAACTCCGAAAATGAAATGTTCTACCTAAAGTCAGCCACCTACAAATATGAAATAAGTTTGAAGGAGGCCCATGACGAATTGAACAAAATTAACGACGCCACTGTGAAGCTGCGGAAGGAAGTCAGCGAAAAGGAGGTTAATCTAAACCTGTTAAAGGAGCAAATCCTAAACAGGGATTACTTCCTCTACAGCATAAACGAGTCGCTAAAGAGGAAGGAATACTTTTACAAAAACGTGAAACAAAGAGTTCAGGGGTTCAATAGAACCTTTATCGAATTGTGCGAAAACTTCGAAATGAGTGAAGTGAAAAAGTTCAATGAGCTATATGAAGGCTTCGAATATAATGATGCCAGCTATAAGAAGCATATGCTAAATTTTCAGCTGCATCATAGGGATAGATTCGCAGAGACGGTGGAGGACATCGTCAAGAAGGTGGCTGCACTGAGCGAATTTAACCTCAAATATGAAGAAGAGAAGAACGACATGGCCAACCGAATTAAGGATCTAGAAAACAAACTAAAAATGAAGATGAACGAAAATAACGAACTGTACGAACAGTACGAGAGCAACCTGAAGAGCGTCCTTTTCGAGCGGGACGAACGGGTGGAAGATTGCCTCATCCTCTCCGAAGACGTAAAAAAAAAGAATCAAGAGATACACACACTTGTCAAAGAGTTGGAAGAAAAAAATGTCGAATATAATGAAGTACATATGAAATGCACCTTCCTCACTAATGAGGTAAAAAATTTAGAAGGCACCAAAATCCATCTGAAGGAAAAGCTCAGGGAAATCGAGTCAGAAAAGGAAAAACAAATCGACTTCCTCAAAAAGGAAAATGATTACCTCAAGGATGACATATCCAGCATCAAGAAGGTTATTCACAATTTGGACGAAGAAATTGAAAAGCTAAAAGGAACAGTAGATAGTTTGAAGCAGGAAAAGTACGCCTATGAAAAGGAGATCGACAAAATGAGGGAACTTCTTGAAGAAGAAAAACGGTTTAATGATATTTTGAAAGAAAACGAGCAAAACTTTATTCAAGAAATTAAGGAGGCACACCAGTACGCTATCAGGAAGGAGGAAGAAGTTAACATCCTAAGACTGAACCACGAATTAGAGCAGAAAAAGTACGTTGACGAAATTGATCACTTAAAAATTAGAAACAAAGAAATCCAAGATTCTGTGAAGAATCAACTGAAAATGGTCTCAGACTTGGAACTTCAAATGCTGGAGTACAAAGTTCTTCTAGATAAAAACACCAGCATGAAAATGCTAGTGCAGGATTTGGAGAATAAAGTTGACGAGCTGATCAAGGACAATGAAAAATTGTGCATCGATCTGAAGAAAGAAAGAATTATCAATGAAGAAAAGGAAAGAAATATCGTGGCACTAAGTGAGGACGTCAAACTGTGCGAAACAAAGATTCACGAAAACGAATCGGTGCTCCTCAAACTGAAAGACGAAAAGGAGCAGCTCAACGAAGAAATATGTATTCTCAATGACATCAGAAAGAGTAAAGATTCTATTATAGAAGAACTGGAGAATAATTTGAGGAAAGCGGTTTTCGGCGATGTCAAACTGAACGAAATGGAAAGGTCGGAACTGCAGCATAAGGTATTTACAGAGGAGGACCTCGGCATTGCCAAAGAGAAGGAGGAAGAGCTAGATTTTAACGACATGGTCAATTCCACCATGTGCATTTTTAATAATAACGGGAACCCGGGGCCAACCCTAGGTGATAGTAACAGGAATAATGTGGCCAAAATGATCGAGCTGAAAAAATATAGCCTCTTCCTGAAGGAAGAAAATGACGCCATCAAACAGGAACTAAGAAAATTGAAAGACCAGTCCTCCATCGATGAACGGAAAAACGTGGAGATGCAAAGAATAATCGAAAGGAGAGATGACATTATTCAAAAAATGAACAATGAAATAGTTACCTATAATGATAGAATAAAATATTTTGAGAAAGAGACCAACGAACTGAACTCCGAACTGTGCGCAGCCAACGAACTACTCGCCCGTCGAAGTGATGAATGCAAAGAGCTGACGACGGAGCTGTACGAACTCACCGATGTTAAGAATAAGTTAATGGTTCGAAACGAAGTTCTTCAGAAACAGGTCGATTTCTTCAAACAAGAGGTGGAGGAGAAGGCGGATCTCCTAAACGACCTGGACATGAAGCAGGCAGAAAACGACACCAAAGAATGCCAGAAAAACGACATTATCAGCGAATACAACCAGACATTAAACATGTACTACAAAATGTGCTCGCGCATTATTTATTATAAGAAGTACGTCGAGAAGGAGCTCAGCGGGGGCGGCACAGGGGAGGTCCAAGGCGGCTACGTGGGGATCACCCCTAGTGAGGCCGTACAGCATAGCATACAGCGCAGCGTGCAACACGGCGTCTACCTGGAGGACTCGCCGCTGATTCACTCATTCCAGAGCGAACTTGCCAATCTTAACCCCTCCGACACGAACGAAATATCCAGTTACATCAACGAATTTCTCAAGTGCGTGCGGCTGCTCATTTTTAAAAAAAGACTATTCCAGTCCAAGCTGGAAAACGCAGAGAGGAAATACAACGACTTTAAAGAAAAGCTCAAGGAAGACAGAGATGTTATAAGCGATTTGAAAAAAAGGCTAAGACAAAATGAGGAGAAACACCTGAACATCAACAGACAAGAGAACCAAGACAGCCGAAAATATAGCCCCCTCTGGGAAGAAGCAGACTCCCTCTCGGTCAACTACAAAGAGCTCAGCACAGATATAAGAAAAAGCCAAAGTAAAAATGAACAACTAGAGAAAAAAAATATGCTAATCCTAAAATACGAAAATGAAAAACTGAAAGAAGAAAATAAATATCTAAATGAACAGATAAATAGTTTGATCCACCTGCAAAATAGCATGACCGAAATGAAGAAAAGAAGCCAATATGGAGAAAAGGAAGGAGCGCAAGATGAGTACATGTTCGTGGCGGAAAACAAGTTCCTGAAATTTGAGGTAGAAACAATAACCAACGAACTGAACATTGTTAAGAACAAAAATGAATATCTGAAAAAGAAGGCGGACAACTATGAAGACATAATAGACAGTTTGCAAAAAGAAATCATACACATTTTGGATAAACAGAAGGAGTGCGACGAGGAGTACTACAAAATGGAAACCGAGTTGGAAAAACGAAACGAACACATTGAAGGATTGATGCAGAAGAGGAAGGAGGACCAGCAACAAATCGAAGCGGAGTACTCGAAGAGCCTAAAATTGGAGAAGGAATTTCTCGCCTTCACAGATGACCTATTCAAGAAGGAATGCAAAGTCAAGGAGTTGGAAGAAATAGTAAAAAATCTAAACCATGATATTAACGCACACATTGTAGAAAAAGAAGAGCTAAAGAATATTGTAGAAAATTTGAAAACAAAATATGGCACATTTCAAAATAAGTATAACGACCTTTATGATATCTTTGAGAAGGAGAAGCAGGGGAAATCCGAGATGGAGAAAAAGCAAGATAGTGCATTACTCACGAGACTAAAACATTATGATGACATTATCTCGGAACTCCTAAAGGAGAAGGAAAATTTACTAAACAAGTATGAAGAATTAAAGAGAGTATATGAGGAGAAGCTGAAAGTAGAATCCCTTCTGCACAAAGAAATCAATGAACTCAGAAAGAATAACGAAAAATTGAGTGAACAGAATAATTCTTTGATCGAAAATATCAACCAGTTGGTTAAACAGAATGAGGAGTACAATATAAAATTAGTAGATCTGGACAAGGAAAAATTTGACCTCTACATGAAATATCTTAAAGTGTCGGAGGAGTTAAACAACCTTTCCGCGTCCCCTCTCCGTTCGAATCACAGCACAGTCGATAAAAATTTGGCGGGTAGTAGGCTTTCCAATGCTCCCTTGTCTATAGGGAACAGTCCGGGAGGTGAATCGCATGGAAAAGAGTCCATAAGGGGCATCCTTAACCAGTACGATCACACGAAGAGCCAGGACAGGGAGCTCCAAGACACAGAGCGTCTAATCCAGGCGGGGGAAGACCCTCAAAAGGGAGTCATTATAAATACTGATAAGAACCAAATCAGCCACTTGGAAGCCCAAAATCGTGCCTTTAGGGAAAAGATTAATGAATTGGAGGAACTGAACGGAAACATATTTAACGACAATAAAATGTTAATACAAATGATTGCCGAGGCAGACAAACGGGGAATCGACCTACAAATTGAAGACCTAAAAAGTTTGAGGAATTACGAAATTTTGGTGAAAGAAAACAAACTTGAAAAGGAAGAAAACGAACATTTGAAGTTAGAGATATATAATTTGAAGAACAAAATCGATGAGTATAGTATCATGCTTAATAAAAAGAGCCAGCACGAGGAACGAAACAAGAGGGCCAAAAATTACCTCTACTACTTAAATGACAAGATCAAAGGGTTCATAGAAATCTTCAGCGAAAACAACTTCAATTATGAATACTTCAAATCGGAACTAAAAAAAATTAAGTCCACCAATTTGATGATTATTGAAGAAAATTTCGAAAATTTCAAGGAGGGTGGCTACTCCAGAATAAGTACCCCAAGTAAGCAAACCCAGGAGGACGATAACAAGAGTGTCAACTCCAAAATAATTGTCAATTTTTTCACTGCCTACAATGATACGAGTGCAACCCGAGAAGACGACATCATCATTAACCGATTCGAACTGAAAAAATTCTACAAGTGCATCATAAAATTAAAGGAGGATTATCACAAGAAATGCCTCCTGGCTGATAATCAGAAGAATCTCATTGAGGAATTGAACAAGGAGATCTTTAACTACTCCACGCAGAATAAGACTCTCCAAAATGATGAACTTGAATTGAAGAAAAAACTCACCCAAGTGATGAATGAAAATGCGGCCAACGTTGAAAAGTTTGCCAAACTGAATGGAAATTTGATCATCAGACTTAACGAGGAAGTCTCTAAAAACGAAAAGTTGATGTCCGACCTGAGCACACAGAACGGCATAAATAGACACCATGAGGAGAACCAGAAGAGGATAGAAAAGGCGCTAAATTTTAAACGTTTCACAAATGATGATTTGTCCAAAGGGGAAGTAGACAGCACGGAAAGAAATTTACAAAAAATTCATATCTTACTCGACGAATATGAAGAACTTGTGAGGAACAATTCCAAGTTGCTAACAACCAGTGATAAAGTGATTGCGGAAAATGACACCCTCAAAGAGGTCATTACCAAAATGGACAAAGAAATTAACGACCTGACGATCCAGCTGAACCAAAAGAAAGAACAACTCAGTCAGGAAAAGTGCAAAAATGAGCAACTCGCACGTCCAAGCGCAAACAAATTGGCCGATGAGCAGGGGAAACGTGGTAGTGATACGCCCCAAAATGATAAGGAGCAGTACAACAGAGATGTCATACAAGAATATGAAGCAATCCTTCTCACCATTGAAAAGAAGAACTCCGAATTGGAGAACCATTGTGAGAGTTATCAAAAACGTAATGATGATCTCAGCGACAAATACGACGCCTTGCTTAAGGACTACAACGAGCTGAAACGTTTTGTGAAAGAAAAGAAACTTGAATTTAAGATGGCGGAGGAGAAAAGCCAAAATGATGACGAGGACGGGGAAGTCTCCAAGAGTCAGTCAAGAGGCTCTGAAAAAAGGACCTCAAAGGAGAGACAATCGCCTGGTATGTTCCTCACAGCAGATGAGTTGATCACCCTCAGCAAGCACGTAAACGCCGTTGAGACGCTAAACAAGGATTTCCTAAAAAATGAAGAACTAGAACAGTTCATAGTTTTAATCAGACAAGACATTGACAACATTTTGAGAGAGGACTGCAGGAAGGAGGGACTCCCTAACGAACATCGCAGCGAAATTCGTGGCCAACACGGTGGCGACCTGCTCAGCGGACTTCTCATCCGATTGAGAGAAAAAGAAAAGGAGGTAAATTATTACAAAGACGCGATGGACAGCCTGAAGATGCGACTGGATGGCAAGGAGGAAATAATTAAGAATTTGAAGTATGCTTACGAAAATGATCTGAAGCGAAAAACGGAGTTCACGAAAAGGCTGGAAGAGAAGGTGCATGAAAGTGGCCCCACCAACCAGGCAGACATACAGAACAAAGAAATTTTTTTGAAATTCCAAAACGGATATGAAGAACTGCTGAACGAGTATAACGTTTCCCTAAATACGCTAGAACAGACGAAGGGAAAGCTAGAACTACTAAGGAACGAAAAGGACAAAATGGAAAAATTAAAAAAATTAGAAATGGACGATAAAGAATTTATTATCAAAAAGTTGGAACTAATAAACACCCAACTTAAGGATAAGGCAGATGAAGTAAGAAAATCCCTAAGTCAGGAACTTGAAATGAAGGAAAACATAATCAAAGATAATGTAGACATGCTTGACGAGTTGAAGAAACAAGTCGATTTTTTAAAAAATGAAAAAAGCAAAAATAGCAAGTACACCGCAGAGCTAGAATTGCAGCTAGCCAATTTGAACAATGAAATGAACACACTGAATAATCTCCTCCAAGACTCTAAGGAAGAAATCAACTTGATAAATTGTGCCTTGGAAGAAAAAGAAAATGAAGTTACCGATTTGAGGAGCAAATTAGAGAGTTACCTAAAGGAAACGGAGGACAGGACAATGCAGTATGAACCTGGACAGACGGGAAGCAAACGTAATAGTAGCGTCTCAGAGAAGAGACGACAAAGCTTCCCAGGAAGCAGTGAACACATTTTGAAGGAAAACGAAATTATTAATGAATTGAAGAGGAAAAGCCAAATGCAGACTAATCTACATTACCAAAAATTAAACGAACTACGGATCGATCTGAAGAAGTCCTTCGTAAGTTACAATAAACTCAAATTCGATAGTGAAAAGAAAATTGAAGATTACGAAGAAGAAGCAAATAACTTAAAATACTACATAAAAAAAATCGAAGAGGAAAATGAAAAAAAAGATAAGAAATATGCGCTAATCGAAATTGCAATCAAAGAAATGGATAAAGACTTAATTATCCTGAAAGCACAACTAGAAGAAAAGAGCCTCTACATTATAGATCTTGAAAAGAATATACAACGTTATGAGGCCGATCTTCAGTTCCTCGATGAAGACGCCAAAGCAGTGCACCATGTAATTATGACCTACGTCGAATCGGATGAAAGTGACATTGACCACTTGATGAACCAACTCAGCACCAAGACGAAGACGAACCATTTCGTTTTCCTCAAGGATGTCATGGTGAAGCTTTATCAAAAATTTATTAACGCGCAGATGAAGCCAAAAGGACGGCGCAGTGGAAGTGATCACGGTGATGCCGTTTTGCAGAGGGAGAAGGAAATTCTAAGCTTGGAAGAGAAGCTGAATAAAATCCTTTTCGAAAAAAACGGGCTAGAAAACGAGGTGCGGTTGGTTAAGCAAGAGCTGGACACGCTGCACGAGAAGAGGAGTGCCTGCGCAAAGGAGCTGAACGAGCTTATGAATGAACTGGACAAGCGACATGAACAGCTAAGCCACGCGAAACATCGAATGGACGAGTTAGACAGGAGGGAAAAAAACCTACACGATAAGGAAAGCCAGCAGATCAGAAATGGAGGAGAAATGGTGAAGAGGGCGAAAGAACTGTCCAGCAAAGAGAAAGAAGTGATGAAGAGGGCGAACGAGCTGTCTAGCAAAGAGAACGAAGTGCTGAAGAAGGCGAACGAGCTCACAACCAGAGTGGAAGAACTAAACAACGAGAAGATACACATGGAGGAGCTGAAAAACGACCTGATGGTTAAGTTCGAAAAGCTGTACAGCGCGCAGAACGACATCAAAATTAAGGAAACCAAATTAAAAAAAATATACGAGAAATTGAAAAACCACAACATTGTAGAATTACTAGACATTAACAACAATGAAAACTTTTTAAACACATCGTCGACAAACACTTTTAACAACTCCACGTCGCTGAAGAGAATAATTGAAATGGACCATGTGGAGAATGAAAATGGAAGCCTAAATCTGGACTCACTCGAGTATACGACCTACTTCAAGGAGTTTAAAAAAAGAATTAAACATTTGAAAAACGATTTAATGAATCGGGAGAAAGACATGGAGATATATAAAAAGACTCTCGAAATTGAGAAAAAAGAAAAAGAAATCTACAAAATTGAATTAGAAAAGGTAAAGGAACTTGTGCAAGTCGAACAAATGAATCGTAGAAATCTGGACGAGGAGTTGGAGAAATATAAAAAAGATGACTCCCATTTTTTGAAGTCCTTAAAAGAATCGGAGGAACAATTGAATGAAAAGAATAAAACCATTTTAGAACTGCAACAGAAGCTGATTGAAACCTCGTACGAAATGAGCTTGATGGATAATAAGAGCAATATTCTACAAGAAAAAAACAATGAAAGTGAAAAGAAAATCGAGCAACTTAATGGTATCATCTCCAACTACGAAAAGGAGATTAACCAATTGAATAAGGAGAAGTTAAATATTACCAGAAAATCAATCGAAAAGATTATAGACGATGGGGAAGACATTAAAAAGCTGAAGGACAATTTGGAAGATACCCATCAGGTAATGCTCCAGTTGAAGGAGAAAAATGAGCATCTACACAGTGTGAACAATGAACTACAACAGGCCAATAGAGACATGCGAACAGACATTGATATACTGCTCACCAACATAGAGGACATAAACGAGGAAAAGAGAGTCAGCGAGCAGAGGCTCAGACAGAGTGAAGACAGGTACGCTGAGCTTAAACGGGCTTACGAAGAAAAGGTACAGGAGGGCGAACAGATGTACAGCCTCTTATCCTCCAAGGCGAAAAGGAAGTTGCACTTTGGAGGCCAAGCGGTGGACCACGACGAGGGGAACGAAAGGGGAAGTCAAGTAAATGGAGAAATGGATGGGGAATCGGACGATCAGCAGCGCGGCACACTGGACCAGTCCGTAGCTCATCCACGAAACGATATGGCAACCGCCGAATTGGAAGAGAAACACCTACATGCACTGAACGAAAAGAACGTACTTATCGAGTCGTTGAAGGATAAACTGGCTCACTACACCGAGGAGAATAGCAAAAAGGAGGAAATTATAAAAGAGTACAAATCTTTGGTAGATGAAATTTCAAGCAAAGTGCACATATTCGAAGACAACCTGCAGTTCCTTATCAAACTGAACCAGTTTGTAAATGACAACAACTACTCATACGAGCAGGTGCTGGTCATTCTTGACGAATCTATGCTGTACAGAAAAATATTGAATAAGGTACTCCTGGAAAATCAGTTTTACAGACAAATTTCTCAAATTAAGGAATACCTTTTTGATATAATAAAAAAGAACGCGTCGAACACGAGGGAAACGCTAAAATTGAGTCTGCTGAAGAGGAGGAACTCGAAGAAGGAGAGCGGCTTGAGCAATTCGAACCATGCTCTGTACATGAGCGAGAATATTCACTCCTTCCCACACGAAAATGACTCCTTGGTGGATAACGTGGAGTACATCCTAAGAGCAATCGATAGTGACTTTACCAATTTCGAAAATGTGTGTGACGATATTTGCCACTTACTCAAAAAGGAAGAGTGGCACAATTTGTGTAAAAAGCTCAACATCCTCGAGTTCAGCTTTAACAATGTGGTTAACAATATCACCAATGAAATTAAAAAGGTTAGCAAGAAGTGCAACGAGAAGGGAGAATTGAGGAAGAACCTCAAAGTGATGAAGAAAAAGTTTAATTCGCTGTCCAACGATTTTCTAAAAAGCGTGAAGGAGATGGACAATCTCAACATGCTCCTTTCGAAAGAGTCCGAAAAGAACGAGTTGTTGCAGGCCCAAAACGACGAACTGAAGCAACTCTACGATAAGTTAAATGGCGACTACAAGGAAAAATTGGAAGTTATCCAGGAGCAGGAATACGAAGTGAAGAACTTGAGAGGGCAACTAATGGAAAGGAATGAACACAATACGAAGGCAGAACAAATGAACGAGTTCCTCAAGACAGACTTGAGTTATCTAAATACGTCCCTCGATCAGGCGGCCCAAAACTTAAACGAACTGAACAATGAGAATGTAAAAAACAAAAGGAGGGTAATCGAACTGACGGAGGAAAATACCTACTTGAAGAGCCAAGTGGAGGATAAATCCCAAGTTATAGAGCACCTAGAAATCAATCTCGAATCGAAAAATCAGGTGATCAATGAGCTGAAGGAGTTTAACGAAATCCTCATTAAAAGGGTTGAAGGGGGAAGCTCCAATAGGGAGGACGACCGTCCCGATGATGCGCGAAATAAGGACAGCCCCAAGGGAAGGTCCAGCAGCGCGAAAATCACGAGCAACAATGGCAGGATGAAGGATGCACATGCGAGCGACTCGTGCGAGGAAATAAATAAAAAGGAGCTGCTCATCATCATGAGCAAGCTAGAAAATGATAATAACATACTGAACGAAGAGCTGGAAATTTTTAAAAACAATTTTAACGCATTGAAGGAAAAAAAGGAACAGTTGGAAGACATCATTAACAGCAACGACTTGGCCCTCAACAGGAGAGAAATAGAACTCAACGATGCCATCACCGAAAAGGAGAAAATGCTGGAAGAAACCGGCAGGTACAAAACAAAGTGCATACAAATGATAGACATATGCTTTAACAAAGATTTCAATATAATAGACATAAGGGAGAAAATTGTGGCCATCTTCGAAAATGAAGATGAAGAGATCGAAGAAATTATCAACTGCCATAAGAGGCTTCTCTACCACAATGACAGTAGTACCCACCGAGGGACCCAAGCAGGGAATACGAACAAAAGGAGTAGCAGCAAGGGCGGCGACAAATCGGCGCAGCTGCAAGACGAAGACAGAATGACAATCATCGAACAGGAAAAAATCTTACACATTGAAGAAATGAGCAAAAAGAATGAGGAGCTAATCAAGAAGAATGAAGAAATTTGGAAAATGAACAAATACATTGAAGACTTGAACAAAGAAATTACCAACAAGAATTATCTCATCATTAAGCACCAACAAGATGTGGAGGATAAAAATGACATGCTGGAACAGAACCAGCAGTATATTCAGTTCTTAAAAGACCAACTAAAATTGCTATGCAATAACATCGATGAAAATAACTTGTTTGATATTAATAACGTCAATTTGTCGCCCACGCTTAGGAGCTTCATAAAGAGGAAGAGCTTCAACGCGAGGTGCTCCTTCGTTGACATTTCGGAGACGAAGGGGGGAGAGAGCTTCCGCCAGAGGGGAAACAACAGTCGCTTCAACGAAGAGCGCTTCAAACAAAGCGATCACTTCGACCTAAGCCGGAAGAGGCGCCCGTCCGAATTCAACAGTCAGGAAATGTACAACTTCTACGATGAAAACGAAGTCAAGCTCGAAGAAATGAACCTAAAAATGGATGAACTAACTGACAAACTGAAGGTTGCGGAGAAGCAAGTGGAACTACTAAAGGCGGAAAACAACGAATTGGTGGAGAAGTGTGAATTTTTAAAGAAGGAACTCAAGTACACACAAGGCACAAAACGGAATTTAATGCTCTGCGAAAGTAGGCTCAACATACTAGAGAAAGAATTGGAGGAGAAACAAAAAAAACTGGACGCACAAAACAAAACCGTAAACGAGTGTGTCGATATGTACGTGGAAGAAAATTCCGAAAATTTCAATAAAATTTTGGAACTCAAAAAGGACAACGAAAAGTACAGAATCGAAGTAAATATTCTCAATGAAGAAATAGACAAACTGAAAGTCCAAGTGAGTACCTACAGAAATGACATCAAAAATATCAGCTCCACTTTGGATTTTTACAAATCCACACACGACGAATTAGTAAATGAATTCAGCAAAGAAGAAACCACAAATGTGTACTACAAGAAGTTGTGTGAACTCTTGAAGAAGGAAAATGAACATGTGAAGGAAAATTTGCAGATGGAGGAAGAAAACAGAGAACAGCTGATAACAAGCATGAACGAACTCCGGGAACAGTTAAGCAACTGCATGAAGGAGAACTACGAAATCACGCTGGACTTGGAGTTTTTCCAAAGGCAAAATGGAATACTCAAGGATAGCTGCAGGTACTACAAAGAGAGGGAAGACCTTTTAATAAGTAACTTAAATGACAAGGACACCAATTTGAACATGCTAGAAAATTTTAAAGAAGAAAATTTAAAAGAATTTATCCAAAAGCTCAAAGACGAAATACACAAGTTGAAGGACGCCATTTCGGAGAAAACCGAGACCATCGTTTCGTTAAAGTACCAAATAAAGGAACACCATTTTGAGAGCATCTCAAAAAAAGGAGCTCAACTTGATGAACATAAAAATAATGTCCAAGAAATTGTCAACTTGAATAATATGGCCTACGTCCAAAGTAGCTTATTTATTTATATTAATTTATTCAAAAGTGTTCTTTTCATTATAAGTGAAATTTTGTTCTTTGCCGACCCCACAAATAGCCTCTATGTCGAAATTTTAACTCTTTTAAAGTTAAGGGTGGGAAACCAAGACGCAAATGTAGAGTTGGATAACACGATTAAACATTTCCACCTTTCCAAAATCGACTGTGAACATATTTTTCAGTCCGTCCTTAAGTCGAAAAGCATCCTCAGGGAAAAACTTCAGCTTCTCCAGTTAAAAATTTGTTAATCTGGTAATTTGTTAATCTGGTAATTTATTAATCTGGTAATTTATTAATCTGTTGATTTGTTAATCCGTTAATTTGTTAATCTGTTAATTTGTTAATCTGTTAATTTGTTAATCTGTTAATTTGTTAATCTGTTAATTTCTTAATTTCTTTTTTTTTTCCTTTTTTTCCTCTTTCTTTTTTTTTTCGTGTCTGCGCACTTTGCGTAGGAAACGCGGCGCGGCGGGGGAGTGCGCCTGTCCATTGGTCGACTCACTCTCCGTTCATTCGCCATCACGCATGTCATCATGTTTCCAATCACGAATGCAAGTATGCTTGCCCCCGCGAATGCAAATTCGTTGCCGCGCTCGATGCCTGCATTTGTGAACTGTCAAAAATGGTTTGAAGTATGAGAAATTTCGAAGCTCCGAAGCTTCCAAGTTTTGGAGCGTTCCAGGTGGCGCCACCCCCCAATGAGCCCCTGTCGCCCTTTTAAAAATGCCAAGAGTTGCGCTCATACCCTTTTATTGTCCGTGCCTGCAGCATTTTATTGTGTGTGCCCATATCATCCCCTTGTCTGTATGCTCATCACCGCCATGTTTGGGCACACACGGCGCATTCCCGCACCTATGCTACTAATTTCTACGATTTCGGTGCGTTCGTCCAACTACCAACTCCAGATGTTTTTTTTTTCAGTTAAGAAGCTGACTTGTCTAAGTGATTTGGTCTAAATGGATTGGCCCCATCGGTTGTGGCCAATTGGACCTAAGGGGTCGTGCCGCGCCGCTCTTTGCCGCGAAGAACGCGTTAAAACGGAGGGCAGCGAGTCGCCAGATGGAGAGACGTACCTTTTAAAAAGAGTTAAAAATTTTGGAAAACATAAAGATTAGCTTCTTTACTGCGCACAAAAAAAAAAAAAGAGAGAGCGCAAATGTAGATGTGTTCATGTAGGTACACACCAACACAAGTATGTGCCCCAAACAACGGGGACTCATTTCCAGGTATCAGAGCGGGCGAAGAACTTCCCCTGTGAGCTCTTAATTTTCCTGTCGCTCGGCACGTCCATACTACCAAGCGGTAGAGCGTCAAAGGGGCAAAGCAGGATAGCGACAAATCGGCAATCCGGTAAGCCCCCCCCCCCCCTCTAGCGTATGTTCGATATGGCGTCGGAAATGGTTTGAAGGAGAGAGCTGGTGGTCATTTTTTGCGCCTTGATTTCTTCCAGCACGCTATCGGCCTCGTTCTGCATGTTCAGCTTGGTGAACCACTTGTGTTGCAAATTTAAGTCCTTAATTTTTTGTATTAGCTTGATGGTCAGAGGAACGGAGCCATACTCATGAGCACATTCGATGAAATAATCCATTCCTATTGGTGACACTCGATAGTTGGCAAAATTGTACAGTTCATCAAAATATTTATTTTTAGCAAGTGCATGTATTTTGCATCTCCAAAATTTCGGTTCAGAAATTTTAAATTTTTTAAAAATATGATCTGCGTCTAGAAACTCCCCGACTGATAGGGTATACTCTACGGTACTCATCAGAGATAGTCCCTGGATTTTATGTGGGTACCCTATGACGGATTTTTTATTATATTTGATTTCTAGTTCCTTCTGATAATTCAATAAGTCGATATTATTCATCAACGATTTGTGCACAAATTTCATGTGGCTATTCATTTGGTCGGTGGTTAGAAAGCCAGCTGCGTATGCCAGCCACGTTTTCTTTTGATCTAAATTCTTCTTCGAAAGGGCCAAATCCAACGTGACAAACGCGGCCTTGGAATGTTGCCCACTCTTTTCGTAATATTCCTTCAACAGATTGTACTGTTTCGTTTTCGTGCAATAAGTGTAGAAGCAATTCGCTGCCTGAGGATTTTTGTTAAAAACATCAATGAGGGTACAGAGCTCCCTTTCACCATTGGCATTGACCTTTTCTTGATTTAAAATGTTTACAATGCACATGTAGACAAGTTCGATGTCTTTGGAAAGGATGGCCTTTTCCATGGCGACTCCGTAGTTGGCTAATTTGAGAAGCATGTCAATTTGTTTCTTTTTATTTTCTTCATACTGAATGATGATGGTGGCTAGCTGCGGCCGCAGGCATTTGGCAGCTACGAACGCGATGTATGAATAATCCATATTTTTCTTGTTACCAATTTTGTCTGTTATCGCTGCACAGAGCTGTTCATCGGTGAGCTCGATCGACTTCTCAATTTTTTCCTTACACCACTCGATCAGTATTCTGTCCGTTTTAATTCCTGCATATTCACAAATGCGATAAGCTAGAAGGTACTCCTTCCTTTTAGCAATATAGTTAACAAAGGACGGAATGCTTATGTGCTGTAACTCCGATGCTGTGAGGAAAATGTCCAACGGGGGTCTCCGCACATTCATACAAATGCGCAAGTATAAACAAGTTAATAAGAATTTCTTGCAATCATAATTGGATTTCATAAAGTTTTTTCCAAACAGCGAGGTTTGCAGGAGGAGATTAATAACGCTTTCGCTATATTCATGTGTAGCTGCATTTAAGCATTCATCAATAGCTACATGCAGATTGTTATTAAAAGCTCGTATCTCATCATCCAAGGAGATGTTCCCATTCTTGTACTTTTCATATGAATAAAAAAGCATTGCAGATGGTGTGCAGCTACCGATGCTGAAAATGTTGAATGTGGATTTTCTAATTCGGCTAATGTATTCACAATTTTCTTTGCTTATAATTTTTACTCCATAGATGTCTCCTATAAGAAATAAATCGCTTCTGTACTGGTAGGGGATCCATTGATTTTTTGGTCCACCAATAAAGAGCATATGTTGAATATAGTTGGATGGTGTTATCATCGGCGTGTAAACTGCCAGGCAGTCATCGCCACACCAGACGATCTGCTTGATACTTTTTTTTCCATCCAGAACGGTTTCCTCTATGCAATTATTTAAATTTTTTGTTAAAAATATTTTGATGACCCCGCTGTCTGAGAGGAAGGCCAAAATGGTACCCGACTTGGACAGACACATGTTAACATAGGGGGATAGATTATCTGTGTCGTAAAATTTGAAGCGATGCTTATTCATCAGAACGAACCCACCGTTGCATAGCGCAATTAGCAGGTGTATGTTTAACTCCTTTTCCTCTTTCTTCTTCGAAGTAGCATTATTCTTTGAGATTCTGTTTTTGTCTTCCTTTTTGTTCAAATCGTACGCAGATATTTTCATGATAGTCCTTTTTGCCTTTTTCTCCCCCCCTCCCCTCTTGGATGACCCCGCGTGGTTATCACTATAACCGTAGTCATCATTATAGTTGTCACTGCACTCCGTGAGGGCATTATTCTTTGCCTTCACCCCCTCACTCTCATTATCCTTCTTACTGTCAAAAGGGTTGGTAATATAATTTTTAATATTCAGCCTGAGCAGGTCGTTATTGGGCTTGCTATCAAAATAGTTGTGTTCGATGTTGAGCTCTTCGTTCAGGTGATCCTCCTCCACGGAGCACACGCAATTCGGCTTCCCCTTCAAATCCACCGTGGGGTATCTAACACAATTATTTCCATTAAAGTAATAATTGACAAAAACATTCAGTCGCTCCGTGATTATAATTATTCCTTCCTCACAGATCGATCCGTACAGAATCCCCTCATTTTTTATGCTCTCATCGAGGGAAAAAACGAAATTTTTTTCGCAAAAGCAGGAGTATACCCTCACGATGTTATCCTTAAATAGAAAAACCAGATCATTGTTTTTGTTCCAGCCAAAGCAGATTAGTCCATCCGAATTTAATTTGCAGCTGGATATTAGCCTTCCAATGTTGGTGTAGATTTTCAGATTATCTTCCTTTTTGTAAACGTCGAACTTGTCTTTGTTCCGCAAGACGGCAATCAGCCCGAGGTGCCCCGAACATGCTACAGCATCCCGCAACACATCTTCTCCGCTCCACAGCATGCTACTCAGCTTCTGCTTCCCATAGTGGGTGTTGTCAATGGTGTTCCACTCATTCGTGTTCATCATTTCCGCGGTGAAGATGAAGGGAGGGGGGTTAAAAAGAGGGAAATTATCCGTTCGGTGATTCCTCCGCTAATTAGCTCGCCAATTAGTTTAGCCTTCTTCCCCTTTGGCCCCCTAAAACGGTGCATCAAATTCGTGGTATATACCTCGACTGTACTTGCGCACCTAACATGTGGCTAAATAGAGCGCATCATTTTGTCCACACGGGGTGAAGACGAAATGCGCCCTTTTTTGGCTGTCCCCTGGGGGTTCCCGTGCAGATTCTTTTCCTTCTTATTTACGTTGAAAGACGTAGCCAGGCTTTCCCAGTTTCCATCCCAGTAACAGATGTATGCGAAGATTCGCCTGGTTGAAAAATGCAGCCCGTCCAATGTTCTTCACCCGCGTTGTACAAGGGGTAGCCCTAATGCTGTCACCTGGTGGAGAACACTTTTTTTCCGGTGGGGAATCCCTTGTCGCGGCAAGCAGACGGGTGAGAAACAAAAACAAAAGAAAAAAGAAAAAAAAAACTCAACGTAACGAAACAGAAGGAAACGCAGCGTCCCCCTGGAATCAAGATAAAAAAGAATTGAATTGGTGAACCAAATAGGGCTTAAAAAAAAAAAAGAAAAACGGAGGGTTAAGCTTCAACGTCGAAGAGGGAACTCCCAAATGGGGGATAAAATATGTGGTCCTTCTTTGCTCTGTTCAGTTTTATATTGTGGATTTTTTGCCATGTGGATTCATATCAGTGGGAAAATATAATCCATAGGAAGGAGCGGGACGCTTCTCCGAATGTAGTTGTTAAAAAGAAAAATAATAATCAGGCAACTTCCAAATGGGAACTACTTCTAACCTGGTAAAACGTCCTGAAGGAGTCAAAAAAAGTGGCAACAAATTCATTAAAAGGGATAGCAAAAAAAGTATGGAAAATTTTTCAACAAAACAAAGCAACTTCTTTTTTCTTTTTTTTTTTCGCAACGTTGAGAGCACATATATTTTTTTATTCGCAAATGCGCGCAAAAATAAAAAAAAAGTTTCGCCTTTTTGAGCAATAGTGCCCTGTAAGAACCCACTGGACGAACGTAACAAAATGGGAAGTTTCTTCTATTCCGATTAAATCCACCTCGTAAGTTCACTTCCTACGGTTTCGTGCTTGAAATGGGTACCTTTTTCATCTACACAGCTTTGCAAGTTCCACACTTGAAACGGGAACATATTAATATTTCATGCTTCCCCCCCGCCTTTTCCACAACCTCGTGTGGAATTCCGCTGAGTTCCCTTCCCCTCAATTTTGAATGCCCTCAAAGAGAAGAAGGGGGGAAATATTGACAAAATAAACGCATCCAGGTGTCGAGGTGCGGTTGGGCATTGCCAAGTATTCGCAACACAGACGCGTAGCGAACCTGCACTCCACTGCTTCCGCCCCCCCACAACGCAGGTATGCAAAAATTAGGCTCGAAACTCCATCTGGGAGAGGCCAAGCTCGGAAGACGGGGCTTCCACCATTATGTAGTCAAGCCTGACAGGGGCGGCTCTCTTTTTTGTGTTCCCCATTTTTGTACACGGCATTTTTCTGCCAAAAAAGGCAACCCACAGAGGGAATTGAACGGCGCTCCCTTCTGCGAAAGGAAACAAAGCAACAGCTTCTTCAGCAAAGCGAAGAACAACTGTTCCGTTGATGGCAAAGGAAGAAATGAAATATTTTTTGAAAAAATGGAAAAAGAAAATAGCAAGACATTCCATTTGACGAAGCAAAGTGTGTCCAGTGAGAAAGCAGCCGCACAGGATTGTGCAAAAGGGGGACAAGTGGACGAAGCGGAAAACGCGGGGAACGCCAAAGAAGAGGCACTCCTCAAGGATCGAGATCAGGACAAAATGGCTAGTCCAAAGGGGAAAAACCAAAATAGTGACCCCCTGCCCCCAGTCATAGATCTAGAAGTGTCCGAAGTGTGGTCCAAAAAAACGCTCATTCTAAATTTCAAAGATAGCATATTCGAAATAATTTTAAACAGGCCAGAAAAGCTAAACGCAATTAACAAAGACATGATTAATGGATTGTTAAACATTGTGAAAAGCTTAAACAACGATAATAGGTGTCGCATTATTGTAATTAAAAGCAGCAACACGACGTGCTTCTGCTCAGGTTCTGATGTCAAGGACATTGTCCAAAATAAAGAAAAAGGGATGCAGCATTTGAAGCAACTCTACATGTATATTCACTATTTATCCAAAATGAAAAAACCCGTCTTGTGCATATGGAATGGTTATGCTATGGGAGGAGGGTTAGGGATTTCTATGTATGCAAAATTTAGGATAATAAATAAGAAGGCCATATTTGCCATGCCGGAAAATAAAATTGGCTTTTTCCCCGATGTCAGCTGCTGCTACTTTTTTAACAAATATTTTGGAAGGAACATTGGTCTTCATCTGGGGTTGACTTCCCTGCGATTAAACGAAGTCGATTTAGTCAACTTTAAAATTTGCACCAACTATGTCGAAAACGTGGATGGACTGCTGAACGAGATTTACAGCATTGTGAAGGCAAACCAGAATGAGTTCGATGTGGGACTCGCCACCGTTTTAGATAAGTACCCGCCCAAAGTCAGTACAGACATCAAACCGGTACTTACACACAAGTTGATTAACAACATTGACAAGTACTACAGTTCGGCTACTAGTCTAGACCATCTTATTAGCAGGTTGAAGAAGGACCAAGATAATCCGTTTTGCCAGGAGACCCTTGAGGCCATAAACCAGAACTGCTACTCCAGTTGTAACTTCTGGTTTGAATATTTCCTTTACAATTACGATAAACCCTTGGAGGAAGTGCTAGACAATGATTTTAAAATTACGCAGCATTTCTTGTATCACACCGATACGTTCGAGAAGGGCGTAACTGAGCTGCTTGTGAAGAAAAATAAATCTTTCAAGTGGAGCTCCGCGCGGGAATATGGCGATGTGCAGGTGGGGCCAAGCGTTGAAGACATTCTAACAAACAGCGGGGTGTTGTCGATCCGAGGGGAATTCACAAGAGTGTCCTGATAGGTGCGGCTGCAAACGCTGTGGAATGCGCGGTGAGATACATGGCAATGTGAAAAAAAACCTATTCACACCACCGCGTACGTACGAACTCGTGCGCCAATGCAAAAGGGACACAAACACATTTACGGATCAACCCCACATGGGCCATCCACCTATGCAGTTAAGTTTGGCAAAATTGAAGAAACAATCTGGAAATGGTTACAGAGATGATGAAAAAAATTGGTGGTTATTTAAACCCAAATGGCGAATTTTATTCCCCCCTGTGTGTTTACTAAATCGGGGAGCATATAAAGAGGACACATCAAAAAAAAAAATGGAAGTCCACTGGGGGACTTCGGGGGGAGCATCTTGACGTTTTTATGTATGGGGCATCTAAATCGGTTGCCAAGAGATGAGACTCATTTCGATTGCACAATCGCGGGATACGCTGCACATACAATGCCTTCTACGCGGTGTGGCTACTTTGGACGCGAGCTTCTCAACTGAGTGGCCGATAATCCAAGGTAGGAATAGCTCGTTCCTGCTAAATTGGTAGCTCCTTTCTGCCAAATGGGTAGCTCATTCGCTAATTTCTGAACGCCGTAGCCCACGCGTGGAAGTGTTCACCCCCAAACCATGCGTCGCTTTCCCCCCTTCCGCCTCCTCCGCGGGCGAGCAACCTTCCTGTAATAGTTGTTATTCATTTTGCAAAACTTGTAACCCTCTTCTTCCGAGTCCGAAATGGATTGATCACTGCTGACGTCCACCACATTTTCGTCATTGATGTACCTGGAGTTGGGGAAGGAGCCGCTGTTGGTGATACTGACAAGCGGCCTTGCGTCTATTTCTTCTGCAATAATGGAATCACAGTTCGACGCAGACCAGAACTTTAACATTTTGTCATCCCCAAAGGAGGTGAGGATGTGACCCAGGGGGTTCCAATCTAGCAAGGTAATGGAAGATGGTTTATCAATCCCATGTGCAGAAGAAATGGTTTGAACGCATCTATTGTCATTTGTGGTGTAAAATTTAATATTGCCTCTATTGTCGGAGCTAGCGAAAATATGATTCTGCATAGGATTCCAGGTTACGTATGTGGGTTCATAGTTTAATCCAAATCTTGTGCCCACATTCTGATCACTCTTGTAAGAGTACAACAGTTTAAAGTTTCGAATGTCCCACAGTTTTATTAAGCTATCTCTACTACAGCTTAGTAGATAAGTACCATCATGATTCCATTTTATTTTATTTACATTAGCCTTATGTGCATTGAGAGAAATAATCGGTTTGGTGATTCTAATGTCCCAGAAGGAAATAGTTTGGGTTCTATTTCCGCTAGCTACGATTTCGTTAACCGGGTTCCATGACAAACAGCTAATATTATTTGTATCTACATTTTTGCATTGTAAATCTTTTATAATTTTCCTTGTTTTTATGTCCCAAATGATGGGATTGCATGTATCAGCGCAACCAGCCAATTTGGTGTTACAACTGGAGAGGCTAATGTCTAGGACACATTTTGTTAATCCTTCAAATGCATAATTATCCAAGAGATTTAGGGCCGATGACAAAATTACTATTTGTCCTAATGAATTTCCTGCAAAAAGGTTATCATTTTTGGACCATTCTAGACAGGACACGGATCCCCCTCCTATGGGTATTCTCTTTATATCTTCGAAATTGAAATAGAGTCCATTCCAAATGGCCAGTTCACTCAGTTGCGTTCCTGTTATTAATCTCTTCCCATCATTAAACCACTTCAAACTTGCAATCATTCCTTTGCTTCTGTTTAAGCAAGAGTATGCCAAATGGGACAGCACACCATCGTGCCTATCCATCATGTTGCTGTAGCAGAAGAGGGGCCTAACTCTTCTGGAAAAAATGGGATGATTTGGGTACAGCTTCCGCTCGAACTGTCTCTTGTATATGTCGCTTCTGAGGAAATTACAAACTGGGAAAGTATGGGGGAGGAGGCAGAGAAAAAAATTGTCATATGTGCATCATTGCTACTTGGGCACATGTCACTATAAAACATGTAACACATTTTTCGAGGCACTGAGGGAAGGGGTGCAGGTCGTGGTTATGGCATACTTTGCTCACTCCGCACTTGCGTACATTCCGAACTGCACTCTCCTTAGTCTTTTCCATGCACCGTAGGAGTTATACTCCCATGTATGCATTCATGCACCGGGGGGATTATCACGTTTGACCTACTTGATGCATTGAAATCAACGGCGGGTCTATCTATGCCCAACTTGGTTGGGTAGTAGTTGCTGGCATTCTGGTCGTCTGCAAACATTTTAACCACTTCGCATGAATGTACAAGAAGAAATTACCAACGTGCTGGGGACCAAAGGAGCCGTAACTAAGGGCACATGCCCTTCTGATAGGGGATGTGGAGGGGCTGAGTGCTAGATGTTTACTTCGGTTAGCTGCTAATGGTTCGCTCGCCCGCTGCTACTTGCTACCGCTTGCACAGGCGTTGCATACGTTCTAAGGAGGAGTACACAGCTTAACCCGAATTACGCCTTCTATTTAGAAGCGCCTTTTGCGGCTGATATTGTAGGAGGGCGGGGAGCGCATGCCCTTGGAAGGATGTCCCATCTTAGCCCTGCCCACTGAGCACACGAATGTTGTAATAAACAGGTAAATGGGTAATCAAGCCTGTATATACGTACGCAAATGTATACACTCATGCAGGTGGGTAGTACCTTTTTTTGTTCACCCAGTTGTGCCTAACCCTTCGGAGCACGTTATACGCTTTTACGCTCTTTCCCTTTTACGCCCTTCCGCGGGGGGCTTGCTCCGTCTCTGCTACTGAGCGCTTTAAAAGTGTAACCCTATTTCGAATTCCATGAGGGCGAATTCAGCAAATCGTAAAAGCAATCCTCTAATCACGCGGGGGGTCGAAATGTATGCGAACGAATTGGTATATTGCGATAAATCAGTGGATGCCCCACAAGCAATATCCCATCCGCGCGGCGAAAACATGAAGCCCGGGAAAAAAATACACGGAGGGTCTTGCGCTAAACACCCCAATCTGGGGAAAAACACATTATTTACTATTCTGGGGTCATCTCAAAAATGCGCACCGCAAAAGCTGCAGCACATGGAATTGAAAGTTTGTAAAGCAGAAAAAAAAAAGAAAATTTTATCAAATTTTCGTAAAAAGGAATAGTATTTCCCTCTAAATTAGTTGATATTCACATGCTTATTTTTCTGGTATTTCCGCTTTGCTTTTCTTTGTTTGTTCCCCTTCGGGTTGCCCGCGTGATGGCGATTTAGGGAACACATACTGGGAGTACTCCCCTTTTGACTGCACGAATACGCACGTGGGGCTGCCCACGCGGCCGATCGCTCATGTGTGTCCACGCGATATCTCCCTATACTCCTTCAGCACGTTTTTAAAAAAGGAGGAAAAAAAAACGTATATAGAATAGTGCTCCTTGTGAAGGATGTACAGGGAGTAATTAACAAAGTAGTTATTTTCCAAGTTGAAGGTTCCGTTTTCGCTTATGATTTTTCGCAGGTACTGGACATCTGACATGCTGTTTGCGTTGGATGGGTTTTCCGTCCCTTCGGCGGCGCAGTGCAAAGCGTTTCCGCGATCTTCCCCATCGCTATCGCTCGGGGCACTTCCACCGGAGTTAGCTCCGCTGGAGATACTCCCATTATCGTCACCGCTGAGAGTCTCGCTCCTGCTCGCGTTACTACTAGCGCCGCTGGGGGCTCCACCGGAGGCCTCCGAGCTGGAATGGTGGATCTCCCCCTCGCTGTTACTCGAGTGCTGCTCCCGTTCCTCCTCCTGATGTTGCTCATCCTCCTGGTCATCCTCCTGCTCATGCTGTTGCTCACCGTAGGCGTCCTCCACGGTGAGGTACCTCTTATTCCCCTGGGGTGACTCTCCTCTCCCCCCGTATTGCCTACCTTCATCTTCTTCGTCAAAATTGTCGAAAAAGTCCCCACTGTCACTCTTCTTTTCGTTGAGTTGGCCATCCACTGGCTGCTCCCTCTCGTTGGTTACCCTAATGTGGCTACCGGTGTGCCAGGAATTCCTGGACAAGCCGGTCTTATAAGTGGAAGACAGAATGTTGGAGGCTTCCTCATCTAATTCAATGTTCATATTTAAGAAGAAGTAAATAAAATGGCGTATGATTATGTAAAACAAGCTGTCGTATATAAGCTCTATCTTATTAAAATTGTGAATCATGTCGAGAATATCTTTGTCCAAAGATTTGATAATTCGAATGTATAGTCTAACAACACATGCTGGGATTTTTAATTTATAAATAAATGGCATCATGAAGGTTAACTTGATAAGTAGCGATTTTACCATCTTCTTATCCATGAGAAAGAAAATGGAATTATTTTTGTACCCTATTAAATAGTTGGCAATGGATTTAATGGAATAATTGAAAAGGTCCAGATGATTCAAAACGTTAACATCGGATGTTAGTTCTTTTTGCAGGTGACATATCATAATGTTGAAAGAGACAAAATCGAGAATGACATTTTTTACAAACAAATTATTAAGTTTGATATCCGAATTGATTAATTCATGTGCCTTTTCGTTGAAAACATCTGGGTAGTAATAATATTCTGTTAGCAGATATTTCAACAATTTGAAGCAGGAGCTTTTGATGGTTAATTCTTTCGTTCGTACAGCCAAGTCGTAGATATGATACAGGATAAAATTGTGGATGCTCATGTTATAAAGTTCTGTTGGGTCATTAATGGTGTAACTGAAGAAAGAAGACTTTCTATATCCCATAGTTACATTCTTTAAGTTGTTAAAGAGAAATCTCAGGGCATAGTAAGTTATACTTTTATGTTCCTTCTCATTCTGGTCGTTGCTTAGGTAGCTATATTTTCCTATTATACTTATTAAAATTCTGTTCAGTAAATTTTTCATCACAGTTGGAAAGCTTCGAACTGTGTTCCTCAGGCTAAGGACGGAGAAGGCGTTTCTTACACAATGTAAAACGTTATCACTAAGACCTCTTGTTATTTGTCTTCCTCTTTCTCTTCGTACTTTCCTGACTGCTCTTCCCTGTTGTGTTCTCTCCCCATCGGAAAAGGAATACTCCTCCCCCTCCTCTATAGCGTAATTTTTCCTTCGATTTGTCTTCATCACACTGGGCGGTAGGAATAGGTCGCCGTAGCTATCCCCTCTGGTTGTCCTATTATTACGGCTCTGCTTCTTTGTCAAGAGGTTCTTCTTACTGATGGTTAGAAACTTACATACAAAATCGAAATTCATAAAATCGGCGTTGTCCAGATAGTAATTCTTTCGATTAAAAAACAGATGGTTCCGGAGGGTGGGAGAGAAATCTTTAAATTCATATATAATTCGAAACACCCTGATAATCGTTTTGAATTTTATGTAGTCTTTCAAATCGTAGAGGATGAGCAAGTCCAGGAGATACTTGAGGGGGAAGAAATGCAAGATCTCCATGATCTTTTCATTCTTTACTAAATAGTGAAGTGCTAGGTAGTAGAACAAATTATTTCCGTTTAACAAATTGAAAAAGAAAACCAGCCTTTCTGTGTTGTACTCGTTCGTCATCAGGATGTTTTCACTCGATTGGTTCTCTTCGTTTGGGTTGTTTCCCTCCCTCAGTGGCGTTCCCTTACCGACTCGCCGCTTCTCTCTCCGCTTGATTCTTCTGTGCAGATTCTTCTGCGCTGGTCCCGAGCGACCACTGTGCAAGCAGCTGCCACTGCTGCAACTCCTATCACTGCCACTGTCGCTTCTTTTGCTTCTTCCACTTCTTCTGTTACTTCCACTTCTCCCATTCGTGCCATTTCCCCCGCTGCTGCTCGTGCTGATGGTGCTGTCGTAGTAGGGGCTCCCGCTCCCCCTTTCGCGCGTGGCATCCCTGGCGGAACGTCCGTTCGCCGTGTGTCCATGTGTCCCGCGGTGACTATCATTATTGGCGTGTTTCGAGCTGTAATCGCTCTTCGTGTAACTTTCATTTAGTTCCCCCCCATCGTAGCAACTCTCATTGTCAGTAAAAATATTGAAGTCGTTATCGTCCTTCCTATGTCCCTTCCTTAGGACAGCGTTACTTTCGATATGGGTCTCGTTAGGACTCATAGCTGTTTCCTTCGTCTTGCTTCTCCTTCCATTTGGCATTTCAGGCAACAAACTCGAAATGCTGCTATTCCGATCACTAGAGTTTTTCCTGTTCTTCTTTCCCGCTTTCTTACCCATAGGAGCACTTGAGTTATATTTTCTGTAACTTCTTCCCCCATCGTGTCTTCTTCGTTTCTTCCTTGGATTGGTGTCAAGAACGATGTTATTGTCAATAATTTTCACGTTGATTTTTTTCTGCCTTTTCCTTATCTGGCCTCGGCTTTCTACCTTGTTAATGTACTCATTCAGCATTTTGTTCAGTTCCAGTTTATCCGAGTTCATGCTCATTTCTTCCAAAGTGAGGACGATGACATTTTTTATGTTATTAAAATTTAAGCAGTAATGAAAGGTCCTCTTGTATTTGTTTATGTTTCTTTTTAAATTGTCTATGGAGTTACATATGTCTTCCAACTTCTGATCCTTTATACACAGATAGTGGAGGAATTTTTTTTTTCTTCTTTTTTTACTCTTCAGTGTGTTGTTCAGCGTGAAGTGAATGTTCTCTATGAACTTCAAATTTAGGTGCAGCTTATCGACTATGTTTTGGAAGTAGGAGTTTTTGTAGATTTGTATCAGATCGGCGCAATTGAAATTTTCAAATTGGTTCGTGTTCTTTTTTAGCTCATAGTTGTACTTGAGATTCTCCACCACGTGGTGCGGGCTGAAGAAGTGGTTGAGGTGAATGTCCCGGTTGGTGCAGCCATCCAGGTTCATGGCACTTCCCAGGTTGGCAGCGCTTCCCCACTTGGTGCCAGTTCCTAGGTTAAGGCCGCTCCCCAAGCTGTCAAGCTTCCCCGCACCATCCTCCCCCCTATTCGCGTCACCAGTCTCGTGGCAGTGGGCCCCCGATTCGCCCGCAAAATAACTGAAGTTTTTAAACACCCACTGTTTCTGGTTTTCCAAAACGAAGAAGGACTTCTTCTGGTAAAAATATTTTGCGTACTTCACATACGAGTAGGAATGCCCAAATATGTGCAGAATGCACCATGTGTACACATAAATCAATTTGGTGATTTCCTTGAGGAAATGTTCCATTTGACCGGTCACCTTTTCCAACTCGTTTTTCCTATACTTTGCGCTGCTCTGCGGAGGAATTAAATATGCCTTCATGTAGCTATTATACGTGGTGGCTATCTCGGTAATAAATTTTAAAAAGTAATAATCGAACTGAAAGATGTTGTCCGAATTGTACACACTGATAAAGTACGATATGGTGTCGACATTTTCCACATAATCCAAACTGATCATTTTGTTTTTATTTATCTTGTTAACGTCGAATGCATTTTTCAGCTTGTTTATGTTGCTTATAACTTGGTAGAATTTTTTTTTTTTTTTGGCTTTCCTCAAAATCTCGTTAAAGATATTTTTGTTCGTGTACTCGTGTTGATATATGCCTTCCTTCGTTATGAATCGGTTTCGTGATCCTTTATACTTTGTTTTTTCCCTTCCCTGTTTTGGTTGCCCATCACTGCATTGGCTATCACTACGTTCGTCATCGCTGCCGGGGGGATTTCTCCGGTTGTCAACCCCGCTTTGGCTGTCAACCCTTCTTTGGCTGCTGCTGCTTCCCGAATCGCTGTGCAGATTGTCACTGCTGTCCAGATTATCGCTCTCCTCGTACTTGCTTTCCTGGTATCTGCTTCCCCCCCCATTGCTGGAACTTCTTCCACTTCCACTTTCGCTGAGACTATCTTCACTGTAGCTTCCCCTATGGTGTGCTCGTCGTGCCTTTTTGCCTTCTGTTCCATCCCGCATGCCTCGCTTGGCCCCCTCCTGATTTGTGGTCGACTGGAGCACATCCTTCAACTCTCCGTCACTGTCGAAGCTACCCTTACGATTGAAGTCGTCTTGACAGAAATTTCCAACTACGCTTTTGTATTTCATCAAATATTTGACAATGTTGAAATCTTGTAGGTTCGCATCGCCCCTCCTGCCACTTGCGCTGGTCGCGGTGGCAGAGGAAGCAGTGCTGGTCCTGCTTCTGCGCATGGTTTCGCGCATGGTTCTGCTCATGCTTCTACACCTCCTTCCGACACTCCTGTCCGTGGACCCCACATCAGACCCACTGTCCCGAAGGGTATTACTGCTGCCGCTTTCGGAGGAGAAGCTTTCCCTTTTTCTGTTCTTCCCCCGGTCATCAGCCGAGCTAGAGGAGCCCCTGATGCTGCCACTGCACGTCGCTGGAAAACGCTCCCTGTGATCATCACCCGCTTGGTCCAAAGAAACATTATCAAAGTTGAGCAAATTACAAAAATTCAAATATTTATTCCTTTCTTGTTCGAAAATGTTATGATTAAAAAACAATCCAGCACTGATAAAGATGTGGAAGATTTTCGAAATAGTGGTTACACAATAGTTGAGATATTTAATCAACGCATGAGCATTTGTGTGTAAGTGAAAAAAATCCTTGTCTTTGCTTTTTTTCTCGATATAATATAACACATTTTTATGGAAGGAAAAAATTAAATAAGGGTTATTAAAGAAATAAAATAAAGCATTGATAGTTTCGTCTGAGTAAATATCATGATTAACTTCATTTTGGTAAATAATTTCGACAAAGGAGTTTCTGCTTCCCTTGGGGAAGGTATTATTTGATATAAAAAAGTGGTTTAATTCTTTGTTTAGATAATCTTCCTGGTTTCTTTTGTTCGTCGAATCTTCATTTGTGTAATCGTTTTGTTTGGATTCCTTAACGTTGTATTCTTTTTTTATTTCTCCTTCCGTTGGGGTGGTCCCCACTGGGATAGCATCGTTCCTATCGCTTTGGTTCGCACCTGGTTCACTTGGGGGACACTCAACATTCGATTTGTTTACATTTACTCTGGATAAATCTGCAGCGAAACTGTCTCCGATCGAGCTGTTCACCCCACTGTGGTCGGGTGGTAGCCCGTCTGAAGTTATGACTCCACCTTTGCTTAGATGGGTATCCATATGGAGGTGCTCCCCCCCGACAGGCACATTTCTCCTCGTGCCCTCCCTATCACCTATTACATAATTATTTTTAAAATTCACCACCGCAGTGAAGAGAAAGGTATTCATTGATGTGTCAAATATGTTCCTGATTAGATACTCATTAATATAAGTATACTGAAAGAAGTTACAAAATATTTTGACCACTTCATTGTCCAATAATTTATCCAGTCGTATTTTTTTTAAAAAAGAAAAATAGCTTATCACTTTGTTTTTTCTTTCTTCAAATCCTTTGAACAGAAATGAGTAGGAATTTTCATTCGTCTTGTACTTCAGATCGAAGTATACATTTTTTAAAAAATACAACAGACATAATAAGTTCAGGAAATATTGGAACGTGTCAAAAAACTGGGGTTCATTTATTTTCTCCTCTTCTTCCTCTGCTATTATTTCTAAGCTCATTTTGTACAAGTCCAAAATGTCTAGTTCGCACTGTCCTTCGTCCATGATTACATTTTCGAACAGGTTGGAATTGAGAAAGGAATAGTGGTTTCTGAATTTGGGCAGGGTTACCTCTGTGGTGTCTTTCTTGATGTTGCGATTATTCTGTTTCGAGTGGTCACTCTCATCCATTGTGCTGTCATTTGTGTGGCTGTCCTCGTTTGAGTAACTCCCCTCGTTTGAGTAACTCTCTTCATTTGAGTAACTCCCTTCATTTGCGTAATTGCCTTCGTTTGTGTGACTGGCTTCGTTTGTATGACTGGCTTCGTTTGTATGACTGACTTTGTTTGTGTAAATGTCCCCCAAGCCATCCTTGTCGCCGTCGTCTTCCCGCTGCACATCTAGTATGTTAACTTCATTGCTCTCCTCCTTAAACGAGTTCTTCACCTTTTCGATGAGGTCTTCCTTGCTCCGTTTATCGTAAATGACGAAGAATTTCCTGCAAAGGGGCACGTGGAAAAGGAAATGGTGAGTATCGAATCGGCGCTTCATCCATTGGCGCATATGTCTCACACGCGGCGTCGCACACTTATTGGAGCAGCGCCCTCGTTATAGCCTACTTGATCTGGTGAATCAGCTCGATCAAAGCCTTTTCCGCAATGTTTTTTTCGTTTGCTTCCGCGGATTTGTAAAACTGGTGGTACAGCGCCAGCATCTCTTCATCTGAAGCGTTCGGATGGGGAAGGGTGAGCGTGTAAAGGGTGTGCGCTCGGCCATGCGCGGTTGCACTCATCCGGTGCGTGTGCAGGTTACGAAAACTTAGCTGCAAAAAAACTCAATTGCGTATGTCCACACGACGGGCTGCGCTTCCCACAGCGGAACTCGGCAATCCCTCTGGGTTCCCATTTCTTCACGAGAAATTCTTAGCTCATTTTCCCACCTCCGTACTCCTTGAGTTCCCTTTCCAAAATTTTCAGAAGCTTTCCTTTCTCCATTTTGGAAACTTCACTAAGGAGAATTTTCCCGCTTTTGCGCATCCACCAAAAAAAAAGAAAAAGAAATATATTCTTTAAAATATGTCCCCTTGACTTTTCTTCCAAATTATTTGATGCGCGGGGAACAGGGCAGTTTTACGGAGGCAAGCATCGCGATGCATCAGGACGGGGTGAGAATTCTCCCTCAAATGCTTCACGCGCAGCACTAAGAATGATGACCTGTACATATGGCATTGCGCGCGGACACAATAAGTGTTTGTATATATATAAATACATATATATATATGTTATGTACTTAGGAGTATTCGTACGTACAAGCCATGGGATGACAAACTAAGCGGCACAGAAAACGTAACTAATGCGCTTGCTACGCTTCCCCCTGCGAATTCTCCGCGAAACAGCAAAGAGGCATCATGGAAAAATATGTAACGAGGAAAACTTCTCCCAAAAAGGGGAAAACAAATTACTTTGACAAATCCATTGACAAGGGGAGGCAGGATGAGAGTGCCTAGTTAAAAAAAATATATATAAATAAGTAAATGAATAAATAAATAAGATACGCATATGGACGAAAAGCACAGCACGTTAGGACGACTTTTTTATTTTACCCTTCATTTTATTTTTTCTGCCTATCGTTGTGGCGTTCCGTTTAAGCCCACTTTCTTCATTGCGTGAAAGGTATTATCGTCCAGAATTCCCCCCCGCGCCCTTGCTATTTCCACGTTATTATCTCATGTGCGCAGGGGCAAATGGAGAATAAAAAGGCTTCTCGCGCCAGGGAAAAAGGCGCGCAGGAGTATTTGCAGACGGGTAAGAAACACATACGTGTATGATTATACAAATGGGGCCTTCGAGTGATGGTACATCGCGCAACATATACGGCACATGTGCATATATGTATTTATGAGTATTTATATATGTATTTATGGGTATTTATGTGTATTTATGCGTATTTATATATGTATTTGTGTGTATTTTTTTCTTTTTTTCTTTTTCCGACTTGTAACAGGAGCGCACGCAAAATTAACACCCACCCAGGCACTGCAGCGGGGGGAAGGTCTGCACCGCGCATCACCACATGTCTTGAGGAGCAAACGAAAATGCCCTCCGAATGTTCACGTGGATGTGCAACTCTGTGGTATGCACAAAAGGTGGTCTCCTCAGGCATAAAGGGGCGTCTCCCCACGTTTGACTCTGTTGACCAATTCCGTCCCCAGAAAAAAAAAAACTAACCAAAAGGGATACCCATGTCTTCCGAAAAAGAGGTACGTGTGCCCATTTTTACATAGACGGCGTAGAACTCCACATCGCCTCATCACTCTATTGGGGGGACATAGAGCTAACTTAAAACCGCCTCAGAAGCCGGCCAAATCTTTCCCGTAAAAATCCATGAGCTGCGCCCCCCTCTCGCGTACATTGGAGGTCTCCAAAGTGGGGTAGTTATATTTTGCATACAGTTTATAGTAGTGCAAATTTTTCACCTTCTTTTCCTGTTCCTCTTGTAAGGGAACAAATTTCAAGGGGGGAGTATATCCCAGCTGAAGTTTTCTCGCTAGTAACTTCCTCAAAACAAAAGCAACTTTGTCCAGCTTATCCTTTATCATGTCGTGATGGACGTTTTTATTTAATAACGTATACACAATTTTACATAAAGATCTCGTCGACTTCATTTCCAAGTGGTGAATCGAAATGGACAAGCCATTTAGTAAATAAAATCGGAAATATGCATTGTTACAATTCAGTAACTGCTCCAAGTGAGTGTGTAATAGTTTTTCTGTCCGTACTCTTCTTCTATTCACATGATATTTTATCGGATCTAAGATATGTCTAGCTACGTTTGGTATTTTCTCTTTCATTATTTTTGAATTTTCCATTTTTTCTTTTCTGATTTTCATTCGAATTCTCGACACGATTTCATCATACTGGTTTTGCTCACATATTTTCTTTATTTTTTGAGAGAAGTTTCCTTCCTCTTGGTAATACGGTTTGATGTCTTCTTCGATGGGGAATTCCTCCATCTGTTTTGTGCTTCTCACTTGGCTAATTGACTCCTCCGCTTCTATATTGTCCTCCAGCTCCCCCTTCCCATTCTTCTTCCTTTTCTTTCCCTTTTCGTCCTCACTTAACCGTTGCGCATTTACAATGCTCTTTGCTTCTTTAATGGGGTTAAGAATGCTACTCATTTTGAACCATCTGATTTTTCTGTCCACGTCGCACTTTTTAATGTACAAGTCATTCATGCGTTGATATTCGTCATGTGTTAAGTCTTGGTATAGTCCCTTCCCCTTCAGACTTTCATAGTCGAAAATGGATTCCTCCTTATGTTGGTCGTTGCTAGGGAAGTTGTATTGCTCTTCAGTGATGGTCTGCTTGGTGGTATTCGCCGCTTCATCCTTCTGTTTATTTCTCCCCCCTCTTCCGCAGTTAGGTCTTTTAACTTGAAAACTGCTGCTTCTAACATTTGACTCGAACTTATCAGGGATTGCAACCCCACTTGTGATTTCCCTTTTTTCCGTTTCTCTCACGACGTTTTCACCTCTCTGTGCGTATGACGCTTCACTCCACGGTTGGTCAAATTTCCCCTCTTCCTTCTCCTTACAAGATGAAATTTTTGTGAACATCTCACCTTTTTCTTCTTCTCTCGCTCGTTCTTCTCTTGCTCCTTCCTCCCTTTTTATCCTCCCTGGGGGAGAATTCCTGAGAAATTCCGAACCCTTGGAATGTTGCTTCCCCCATGTGGAACCTCTCAACAGAGAGCTGACGGACAAATCATCGTCTCCCTCTTCTTTATCGACAAACATCTTTAAAGTCGGGTTAAAAATCTGACTTATTTTCTCCAACTTGTCCTTTGGAATGTATTCCCCTGTGCCTGTTTCTCTGGGAAGACATTTCTGCAAGCCTTCATTTATGGCCTTATTATCCGGGATGGAAGAGTTAATCCCTACTATGTCTGAAATGTGCTCTTCCATTTTGTCCTTCTCGATGGAGTGGACAAAATTATCACTCGTTTTTCCCTCCAGAAATTCCCTCTTCATGTTGTTGATGGACCAGTAAAGGTGTTTATTCTCCAGGTCATCATATTTGTCTTTTCTTTTCCACCCTCGGAATGTGCTGATTGGGGTTTTCTTCCCCTTGGTGAAGCTCACCGCCCATTTAGTGCCTCGCGCCAGGCTCATCTTGGCGCGTGAGGGCGGTGGAGGAGAAAAGCAGTATCTGAGAATTATGCACCAACTGCCCAGCGCTTTCTCTTTCCCTCGTGGTGTCCAAGTGGCAGATGGGCTCCCCAAACAGCTCGGTTGGTATTCCTCCGCTCGGCTGAAATGTATAGCACACTGTCTGGGATGACCCTCCAAATGGGGCCACCAAATGAGCGGTAGCTACCGAATTAACGTCGCGCCCCTTAACAAGCCCTGCCGTTCCTCCCTCATCATTCCTGTCCCTGCCCCGTCCTGCTTTTGTTCTCCAAAGGGGTAAACACCAAATGGCTGTTCCGCGGGGCACACAACATGTACCTACGCCTTTATGCGAAAAAATACGCAGCTTGGAAACGGGTCAAAAGGTACCTATATGCCAATGCCACGAAAACGCATCGAGCAGTCCCAGATCTGTAATTAATCCATCTCCTCCCTTCGAATGGTTAACCCGCTAAATGAGGTGTAGTCGCTAAAATGACGTATGCCCCTACGCGAGTGTATCATCTACCATCGTTGATAGGATAAAAAAAAAAAAAATGGCAGCCGAGCATAACACGGTGCAGAAGTATTATTTAGCCCCGTACCCAAACAGCAACATCGCCAATTTGGGACGTTACCTGAGATGATCGCTTCACATCGTCATGCCATGTAGCACCCGCTGGTTGCCATATGTTCTCAGAGCGCACATGCATTAGACTTTGCAGCATGTGTAGCACTTCTCAATACAGATGCGCACCCCGTAACCGAATAAGTAAAACCCTTGCGCTTTGGCATGAAAAAGGAAAAGTTCCAAACGGCACTGCCCCAATTGGAAACCGCAACACATAGGCGCAACACACCCCTTCTCAAATTGCAAAAGGTACGAACTATTCTTCGGCCATTCTGGTAAACCGATAAGTAAGGAAAATACGTTTCCCCATCATGCGCGGAAAAAAAAGGACACCCCTTGTGAAGAAGCTTCCTATGACCTATAGGAGATGTCCCCCCCGCACACCCACACGCACTGACGCTTTCACTGACCCCTTCACTAAATAGATCCTTTCGCTAACCCCACGAACAACTATGAACACCTTATACAATATTGTACATAAATTGACATATGAGTTTTTTACACAACACGACATAAAAAAGTTGCTAAACATTCGAAGTCTTCTACTGTTCCAATCTCCCAAAAAAAAAAGAAAAAAAAGAAAAAAAAAAAAACAATCATAATCTCAACCGATAATGATAATCTGATGATCCAAAATTGTAGACTACACGTCGGCGCAGCAATGCGAGGAAAAAAAAAGAGAGAAAAAACAGACGCAATAACGATAGTAATCGTACCATGAACGACGGTCGTAGTAGCAACGCTGGTACGCTCAACGGTATCAATCCAGCACAATGGACTCTCGCAGTTGGCTGCTCAGAATAAGGGCTAAAACAACACGCAAAAAAAAAGTAGAATAAAATAAAAAAATAATCATTCTGGCGAAGCGTCAACCAAAAATGGGGAAAATAGGATGCATGCTAATGTTTGTCTACTCTCATGCACGGCTTCCAGCAAAAAAAGGATGAAATAAAAAAAAAAAAAAAAAAAGAAAAATAAATAATTCAAGTGGGGGGTTATCGAACAGGACGGCTCAACTGCACGATTAGGAAAGAAAAAGAACAAAGAAAAAAAGGAAGTCCAAATGGGTAAGGCTTGGGGAGTTACCATTTTAGCACAGCGCTTTTGGGGCCCCAAGGTGTGTACCTGTGAGAAACGTGCTCGAATATGTGCGTAACGGGTGGCGTAAGTGGACAGGCATGGCCCCACGTTGGACACAAACAGATGTACATATACTACGTGCCATATTCTGCTAAGGTTTATTGCGATGAATGAGATGAGTGCGATCAATGCGATGCGAACAACACGGAAGCTTCACTTCACAGGTGAAGGAATTGCCAGTGGATGGATGCACTCCGCGCCCCGTCTACACAAATTCGTTGTGCGGAATATCGTGCGGAATGTCGTTCGATTTCCCCAACTTTATCTTGCGGAGGTTCCACAAAGCCTTGATGTGCTTCTCCAAATCTTTCTCAATGGCATCCAGCTCTTTGTATTTCACACCGCTCACATAGGTGTCCTCTCTACGGTGTACGTCTTCCTTGGCGGAAAGGTGGCTCAATTGTTGAAACATGTCAGGGCTGAGATTTACGAACTTGATTTTGCTGTCCGCTTCGAACGTACTTTTGCTATCTTGGTCGAAGATAATTTTGTTGTCCTCATCCGTTTCCTCATTTGGCGATGGTAGCACCTGGTGCACGGCGTTCTGACCACAGTTGGGATTGCGATCGAGATTGACATTGCAGCTGTCCTTGTGCTGATTACTTCCGATGGCAAAGGGGTGGCCAACCCCGTCGCTAATAGCGCCGCAACCTCTGCCGCTTCCTCCTCTGCCTCCGCTCTCGTCATCCAAATTTATCGCATTGAACCGAGGAAATACATCATAGATGTCGTGGTTCCCAAAAAGCATATCGTTGCAAATGTTATTGTACGAATGTTTCAAATCAGGCGGATGCCGACTGCCACTATTGCCACTACTGCTACCGTTTCTGTCCTTCCAGGTGTTGTTTCCGTTTACGCTTGCCTCAAAATCTATGTATGGCCCAGCTATGCCTTGTTTATTACTGCACATTTTATTTCCACCCGTGTAATTTTCGTTGGAGAGGTACGGACCGGCAACGTTGCACCCGCCAAGGGGATACGCACCAGGAGCAGGAACAGCCGAGGCAGGAACATCATCGTGGAGAAGACCCATCCCCGCCGTGTTGGCAAAACTGAGATGGTCATAATTCAACGTGTCGTGGTTCACTTCGATGGCGTTATCCACGATTGATTTTAGGTCTATGTTGGGTGGGCCCTCCGACACGTTGCTGTTATGGTTGCTGTGGTAGTTATTATTGTTGTTGCCACTGCTGGTGCGATAACGGCGGTCATTACGTCCATCTGCAGTGAAGCGGTCGTTGTAAGGGCCGAGGTAAGCACCGTCATATTCGCCACTAAACTGGCCGTTTCCCCTATCCCTGTCGCCCACAAAGCTGAGGGACATGCTTCCACCCGCGAACATTCTATCTCCCAGGGAATCATCCAAAGATCTTGTCAATTTTCCGTTCATGCTGGTCGCCCCTCTGACTTCCATGACCGTAGACAGATGGGTCTCCTTCATGATATCATCAAATTTGTGCAAACTTCTCCTCATGGGGGGGACCCCATTGAAGAGTTCCGTTTTCAACATATTTTCCGACGCGGTTGTGGTGGTAGCTGTTGTTTTGCTCGTCTCTGTCGTCATGCTTTTAAGTAGCACGTTCTTTTCATTCATATCGTTTGCCATCTTCAGGGGCATTTTAATTCCTTCGTAAAGCAAGCCAGCTTTAGCCACCTCACTAGTGAATAGATCATTTGCACCGTTATGAGCACCACTACTATACAGGCCAGGAAGGTGCGGCACATTATTCACATCCATGGCCTTCTTCACGTGGTCACTTTTCAACGCAAGGCCATTGGTGCACATAAAATTGTAGTATTCTCGAGTGAGTCCTGCCACTGCTCCGATTTTGGCACCATCCAGGTTCCGTGCTAAGAGGTAGCCGTTGGGAAAATTCAGCATCTCTACGCTCGGAATCTGCACACTGTGTGGATTTTTGCACCCATGAGACATGGTCCCCCTGCCGACGGCACCGTAACATCGATCTCCATTGTTCATTGTGGGAACAGTTCCATCGGAAGGCCCTCCGCCTCTTCCCTTCTCCTGGTTCTTCTCAGCTACCAGTTTGTTTTTCTTTGGGCTCAGGATGGCGCCTTCTGCGCTCGAGTTCTTGTCCACGGAGGAGGCGCCGTCAGTGTGCGCGGCTCTTTCCTGATTGAGGTTATCCTTCTGCCTGTTTTTCCTTTGCTGCGCGGATTGTGCGGGCTGTGGTAGTTGCATTGGCTGCATTGTTTGCGGTGGCTGCGTTTGTTGCACAGGTTGCAGTTGCCCCTGCTGAGACTGCTGCCCCTGTTGCTTCTTCTCCTGTTGACCTTTGGGGTGCTTCGCGTTCGTCGACTTGCACGCGTATTTTCCCCTGCCGTCGGCACCCTCCGGTACGCCAGTTCCGTTTGCGCTGTTATTGCTTCCTTCCTTACTTGGGCTCACCCTCAACTTGCTACAAACCTCGACAGCGTTCCCACCGATGGCACCACTTCCGCTGCTTAAGGCATTGCTATTCGAACCATTCGATAGGTTCTTCCCAGAGAAAGAAGTCGTCGCGTTCTTGCTCACCCTGTTCTGCACAAGTGTAGCTCCCCTTACCCCACCTCGGTGCAAACCAAAGCTAACCACATTATTGACGCCTAAAGACAAATTATCAGGTATCAAAAATTGCCCTGTTTTTTTAAACTGAATTTTTAATTTCCTAAAATTTATGTTAATGGATTTCTGCACCAGCTGGAAAGTAGAATTCAAATTAGACAACTCCACAAATGCGTAGCCATCCTGTCTGTCGATATTTACTACGTAGCCATTCTCTAAGTTATTGTTAATGGCGTCTCTTAACTGTACGTTGGTTATGTCTTCGCTCAAATTGGAGACATATACACTCCTTCCATAGGAATTATCAGGCCTTGTAGTTATATCAAATCTTGGTCCTACACTAACCTTATTATCGTCACTACTCTTGACATTTTTTCCCACTTTGTTTGTTTCGTTCTTTTCTTCATTTGTCAAATTCTTTTCACTCTGTACTTTTGCCTTCTTTAAACAGTCCATGATGGATACACCCACATGATATTTGAGGCAGAAACGGCACTTCATTGGACAATCGTTTCCTCTATGGGAGATATTATGGCAGTTAGGACACACAAAGGAATTGTTCGGACACAGTGGCATGGGGTGGTCAAGAGAGTCGCAACTTAGGCAAAGTCTTCCTTCCATGAATGCCTCTAACATTTGGGAGTTATTTAATATTACGGGTCTTTCAACAGTCATATGTTCATTTCCTGTTTTTTTGGCCTTATGGGAATTTCCTCTTTCTTTTCCGTTAAGGGCATTTGCACTACGACTGTTCAGGTGCATTTCCATTGCACATTTCTTCCCGGGTGCTGCACTGAAATTGGTTCTCTTCTGGCTGTTGCGCACGAAGGGGGATTGTTGCGCTCCATTCGCGCCGTGCCCAGTTGACTTGTTCACCACACTGGCGCCGACGCTTCCAACCATGCCGACGCTGCCAATCATGCCAGCGCTGCCAACCAAGCCAATACTGCTGACACCGGCAACGCCGCTCAGGCCGTATCTGTTGTGGGGTACGATTCCCCTCACGGTGGACACGTAGGGAGCAGTGCCAATCAGGCCGTTCATGCCTGGAGCCTGTAGTAAACCACTATACGGCGCGTCGCTTAAAGGGCGCTGACCCCTGAATGCGCTTCTGTCACCGCGAAGGTCATTAATTCCTAACTTGTCTTCCTTCTCCGCATCCTCGTGGTACAAAGGGGGATGTGCGGCGCCCAACTGATTAATCATCCCATGCTGCGTCAACCCGTTATGCGTCAAGCCGCGTTCCATCATGCTGCGTTCGATAAAGGCGCTTTGCGCCAGTCCCTTTTTCTCCACTGCGCTCTGCATAGGACCCCTCTCTATATCGATCCTATGCATGTGGCTCCTAAGCGTGTCACCTTTAGCCTTATCCACGAAATTAACGCTTTCTCTACCCCTGTCCCTACTTCTATCCGCGGTGCCGTCTAAACTCTCCACGAGGCACTCGTCACTGCACGGCTCATCGCACGAATCGCTAAAGATATGATACAGGTTATTCCTTAATATGTTGAAAGTATTATTCAACCCGGCGATGTCCTTTTCCCGGGTAATGTCCTTTTCTCCGGCGGTATCCTTTTTTCCAGCCATTTCTTTCAACTTTTGAACTCCATAATCATTTTCTTCTTCCAACAGCATATAATGTTCCTCTAAGGGATAATCGTTTTCGCGAAAAAAAAGCAGATCTACATCTGCTCCTGCGCTCTTCATCGTGCTCGCGTTGGTACTATCCACAGGGCTCCCCCTACTATTGGAACAATTTTGCAGCGTCGCCAAGTCTACTAGGTCATCTGCTCCATTGGGGGGTTCTGCGGCGTTTTTTGTGTGGCTCTGCGCGGGGAAGCTGTTTTGGTTTACCTTCAATCCGTTCTCCTGAGCCTTTTTGTTTGCACCGTTGGTGGTTTTGGCGGTTTTTTGGGTGCATGGGTCGTTAACGTTGTCTGCCTCGTTTTCCTCGTTAGGGTTGTTAGTGTCATTAGTTTCGTTAGCGTCACTACCATCGTTATCCTCCTTAGAGGCATTCCCAACCTCAGCGTGCGCCCCTTTGGCTTTCGTCTCTGCCTTACTGGCGCTGTTCTTTCTTTTGCTATTCTTCCTTTTCTGGTGCTTGTTCCTGTTTCCCCTGTTTGCTTTGTTGTTTTTGCTTCCTACACTGCCGTTTCGATGGACTTTATTACTACTCGCATTGCCTTGCTTCCCAATGCCGATGTTGTCGTTCTGGTTTACGCTTCCGCTTATGTTGGACATGGCCATATCCCCGTTGTTACTCCCCCCACGCTCTCCGCTGCTCCTGTCGCTGCAGTCGATTGAGGTTTTCCCCTTATTATCGCTAGATGGCTGGTCCCTCTTCCCATTTCCCCTCTTCTGTTGCTTTCTGCTACGATTTTCTCCTCCACAGGGATTTCCACAGTCATAGACGGCGGTGTAGATGGGAGACATTTCCTTCACATCACTCGACGTGGTCCCCCCATCGACAGTGTCACTCCTGTAATATGTGGAAAAACTGCTACTTGGCATGTTAGGAAGTTCTCCTTTTTTTATATCTTCTTCCTCCGATTCGTCTTCTTCGTCTTCTTCGTCCTCTTCTTTCTCTTCTTCTTCTTCCTCCTCTTCGTCCTCTTCGTTCTCTTCTTGTTCTTCTTCCTCCTCCTCTTCGCCATTTCTATCCGTGTCCCGATTGGCACACTTATCAAACGGTATGAGAGCTTGCTCCGAATTTTCGAAGCTGCTGTTTGTGTAGTTCACAAGGTGGCTTATGTTGCTTAGGTCCATCTTATCACTAAAGCCACGCTGAGCTGTGCTAAAATTATTGGTAAAGGGATCTTCAAAATTGGCATTATCCTTCCCTAGTAAGTTAGTCCCGATTTTTTCAAAGGCCCGTTCATTCAACACCTGTGCGTTTTTATTCTCTCCGTTGTCCCCGTGTCTATCGGTGCTGTCGTAGCGTACTGGATGGTAACTGACCCCTTCGGCTAGGTTCACTTCGCTATACATGCTACCTCTAAAGTTAGGGACTACTTTACCGCTTCCCACATCCGATGACCTACGGTTATGACAGGAAATCACGGACACGGTGGTCACATTCGCCACAGCATCGGTGTTACCATTCCCGCTGCTTACACCCTTGACGACGCTGTTATTGTTATCGCTTCCTTTTCTGGGGATTGCCGCCCCCGTCCCGTTCGCCGATTTACTTGCCAAGCCACCACAACTGGAACTGTTGACCTGACCATTCTTCTTCCTCTTCCCAGATAATGCGCTCCCTTTTTTCTGTTCCTCAAAACTGCTCTTGGCGTAGCCACTTGAAGTGCCATTGTTGTACGCGGCGTTATCCTTATCGTTATGGTTGCATTTTTTCATTCCATTATTTTTACTACGACTTCTTCCGTTGTTGCCCAAACCGCCGTTGGCAATATGGTCATTGCTTTTGTTCGCGTCTGCGCTTCTTTTGTTGGCCTTACCCTCTTGTGTTTTCGTACTATTCATTTTTTCCTCGCCCAGACTAGTCCCGCTCGGGACAGACGCGTCTGTATCTACAAAGTTGAGATCCACCTGCTTGGCATCAAAGTGAGTGAATTCTTCCCTCTTCACTAGCTGGCTGTTCATGTAATGGTACATGTGGTCGTGATATCGATTAGCCAGCGTAATTTTATTCATTTTGGGGGGGTATACCGTTTGAGCAAGGGTGATAAAAAAAAAAAAAAAAAAAAAACCAAGCGAAAAAAAGAAGAGAAATAAAGAGAGAAATAAAGACGAGAAATAAAGAAGAGAAATAAATTTGGCGTAAAAAAATTGGAAAAGAAACAATGCACAAGCTTGTAAACACTATAACAACAAAAAAGGTGTGTATACATATATGGGCGCATGCACCTCTACAGGTGGGTGCATCTCTCGTGTACATACTCATGCATGCTCAAAAGAATGTACCTCCCCCTCTCAAGGAGTAAGTAAATTATGCTACTCTACCATGGCAGTGCGCTTTATCATATGCTCGAAGTGAAAAGATAGTTACTCTACGTTTTCGCAGAAAAAGCACAAGAACAGGCACACATGAACACACAAACACCTACATATATATGTGCCGACCTGTCTGGGTGACCACAAAACTGAAGTAGGGGATGTGCCGAAATAATGTCTACCCTCGAATGGGGCCCTATTTATGGACAAAGGGTCGGATCCCTTGGGGTCTTGCGCACTCTAGGGGGCATATATATCAGCGAAGTCCCACATGGGGGGCCCCACACGTGCCAGGTGCAAAATCCGTTTCAACTAAATGGAATATAAAAAAAATGCTAAAGGGGTCAACTAAATTTACACACACACTTGATGCTATGTAAAATGTTAGAATCTCCGTCCTTTGGCTATTCCCTACACTTTTATGTTCTTCACTATGCGTAACTATACACAGTTGTATGAACAGTTTTTTTTTTTTTTTTTTTTTTTTGTGTGTAGTCTTAAAGCACAAGTGATGATGATGCAGAAGTACAAACACACAAAAGAGACGCTACCCTGGAAATTATTGCGTGGCAAACGTAAAAGAAAAAAAAAAAAATTAGAACTGAAACAAACGTATTTTTGACATAAGTAGAATAGTCATGTCCGAGGCAGAACTATTCGCTCACAACGAAATGTGGTAAAACTATTCAAGCAGTGTAAAGAAAAAAAAAAAAAGAAAAATCACACTGTCGCAGTGGGCCTTTTCGAAGGGCGGCGAGTATCACAATGTTGTGTTTGAGAAGAAAAAGAGAAAAAATGAAGGAAAAAAAAAGTTTACAATGCAGACCGTCCGATGCAAGCATATGTTTGCATCTACACATCTACATATCTGTATTTAAAAAAAAAAAACTGATAGCTAAAATACGAACTGAAAAAATGCCGACGCAAGCATTCTTCTCTTTGTTTGTGAAACACACAAAAAAGGGTCTCGTAATTCGTAAATGCTAAAATATACGAAAAAGAAAAATATATCGTGAAAGTGTATGGATCAAAAAATTATGGGGCCGCGCCTTCCATGCAAGCGCGCCTTATGATAATCAGAAAGAAAACAAAAAAAAGAAAAAATACACCAATAAAAATGGCTACGAAAAACTGCAATAGGAAAGGCACGCTACGAAATCGCAATAAAAAAATTATCTGCTTCGGAATCGCGATAAAAGAAATGTCTACTAAGAAATCGCGATAAGAAAAAAGGTCTACTAATATGTCACATGATGCTCTCTTTGCAGAGTGTGCATGCAGGGCTACCATGTGTTATCATTTTCGCTGCTCAAAAGGCGCCTCGCGCGTTAGATTTATTCTAAGCATTATTTTTTAACAAAAAAGAAGAGTGAATAAAATGGGAAGGGGGGGAAACGCAAAAAAAAAAAAAGGACAAAAAAAAAATAATCAAAAAAATGAAAAAAAATTCACGCAGGGCAGAAACTTCTAGGTGCCCTTTTGTGAGAAAAAAAAGGGGGAAATATATCCGAAGTTGACGCAATGCACAAAATGCGCTCTTTCGGGGGAAACGCCATGTACAAGAGCGCTTTCGATTTCGCACGCACGTGTATAGGTACACACAGTCGCTCATGATAGAGCCGAAAAAGTTGTTCTATATGCCTCTATGCGGTGTTCAGGAATACAGGCAAAAAAAAAAAAAAAA